ATCTCTCTCTGTGGGATGTGACTCAAGCTAGTCTCTTTAGTTAAGCTTAGCGATGCCAACGAGGCTAAGGCTCGCTCGGCTAGATAATGTTGGATGGACGGCAGCCAAAAAAGGAAAGAGAGAGAGAGAGAGAGAGAGAGAGAGAGAGAGAGAGAAAATGATGTCTCCACGAAGGCTGAAACAACAGGGTTTCCAGGACAAAGATCATGTGTCACTCTAGGTATAGTGAGGACAGAGATTTCCAAGGGAAAATGCTCAAAAGAAGCTAGATAAGTAGTTCCTGCGTTCCCAAGGGGTGTCTTAGTGGGAGGTGGAACAAGCCAGCAGATGGTTGGATGGAATCGCCCAAGGAGGAGGAGGAAAATCTGGAGGAAACTAGTGGCTGGAGAGGCAGGGCACTTGCCTTGCACACGGCTGACCCAGGCTCAATCCCTGGCACCCCATATAGTCCCTCTGAGCCTCCTTCCAGGAGTGATCCCTGAGCACAGAGCCAGGAGTAAGCCCTGAGCACCACCAGGCATGGCACAAAAAAACAAACAACAACAGTAAACAAATAAAAGCTCTAGGAATCAAGCCCAAGAGACAGAGGAGGGGGCCGGAGAGCTGGTACAGACAGTAAGGCATTTGTCTTCCATGCAGCCGATCCACACTCGATCCTTGGTATCTCGTGTGGTCCTCGAGCACCACCAGGAGTAATTCCTGAGCTCAGAACCAGGAAACCCCTGAGCACCACTGGGTGTGCCCCCTCCCTCCCCAAAAATAACAGAGAGATAGGGGAGAGGGAGAGAGAGAGATGAGTTTGTAATCAAATCGAATTTATTTGTAATCAAATGGGTAAGAGGAACAGAAGCAAGGCAAGAAAATACATAGGGAGGCTCCCTCCTCGGACGGGGAAACAGCGCAAGTGGTAAAGCCCAGACACTTATATATGAGGCCCTGGGTTCAGTCCGCAGTGCTGGGGGAAAAGAAGTTTCCACTTGATACTTCAGTTCCTAGCCTGTGAATGGCTCTGCATGGTGACACAAGCTCACCTGCTCGGTAGACCACCAGAGGAGCCAGCAGTGGGTGTTAAGGGACCGGAGGATGATTCAAAGGAAGGGCTGACTTTGAATGTGCTGCAATGTCGAGGTTCCCGGAGGAAAGCGGATCTCAGAGGGCTGTCTCCAATAACTGGAGACAGGACAATGCAAGAGCGCTCACCCTTTGCAGAACGGACTTTATAAACCATCCAGCCACCGGCCCCCCCACACCTCCACTCAGCCCCTCCCCAACTCAAACGAAGCAGAAAGCTGGGTGGAAGAGCTGAAACCCCGCCTCTCCATGAACCGGTCCTGCTGGTCAGCAAGGAGCAGGGGAGGGGCCCGGAGCAGCCTCTTTGACAAGGCCAGCAGGACTGGATTGAAAAGTACCATTGTAGAGAACCCCCAGGCTCTGCTGCCCACCGCGTGACTCTGCCTCCTGTCCTAAAAATAACTTGAAAGACCCTTTATCCTTCCTCCCACTGACTGACCCTTAAAAAAAAAAAGCAAAGTCTTTGTCAAGTGGACAATACACAGGCTTCACGCTGACCAATGCTTTTGAGGAAAAGTGTCCTTCTCTGGGGCTGGAAAGACAGAACAGTGGGTAAGGCACTTGCCTCGCATGCAGCTGACCCGGGTTCAATCGCTGGCACCCCGTGTGGTCCCCAGAGCACTGCCAGGAGTGATCCCTGAGCACAGAGCCAGGAGTAAGCCCTGAGCACAGTTGGATGTAACTCAATCCCCCCGCCCCACCAAAAAAAATGAAAATTGTCCCTCCCTGTCCCCTCTCCACCAAAATTCATATGCAGGGACAGCTCCTAAGAAAGAGCGCATAAAGTGGGGGACAGCTGCTAACTGGGAGGGGCACCTCTCTACACGGGACAGGGGGAAGACAGAAAAGGAAAAACTTTTGAAATCCCCATTAACGGAACTGAGATAGTGTAGTGGTTTACCTGCCTGGAACAAACCCTCTCTGGCTTGGTTCCATTCCCAGAACCATATGGTCCCCTGAGTATCTCCAGGCACAGACCTGGACACCCCTCTCTGCTCCCAGTCCCGGCAGGATGGCCTGGGTAGCCCAGCAATGCAGGGCCCAAGCAGTGTGGCAAAGAACTGCCAGGAGGATCTCCTGAGCACTGCTTGGTAATGCCCTGCCTCATCCCACCCCCCAAAATAGCAAGAAACAAAAACCCCCCATCTGTCAAAAGCATCCAATGGCAGAGTACAAAAGGACTAAGCAAGGCCTTGTTTCAGCCCACACTGATCTGTGAGAGGAAAGTTTGATGGATCCCGAGTATGCCGCTCACAGCTGGCCCGCAGCGCCGCCCTCCAGAGAGGTTTAGGTTGAGATCAGCACCAAGGGCCAAGAGAACAGCAGGCACGACAGGCTGTCTGCTCATCCTGCTCGGGCCACGTGTTGATTCAGCATGACTCAGTCTAATCTGATTGTTCTAAGGCACTTGGGTCTGCTCCCTCCTTGCACAGTCATGGGTTTATATTGAGCTGGATGCATTGCTCTGCCGGCCAAAGGGAGACACCAATCAAGCAGAACCGGGATCCGGGAAGAGCTTCTTTCTGCTAAAAAGGAGAAAACTGCCTACAAGGAAGAAGCACTTTCCTATGCGGCTAATAGGGTTTGATCTCTGGTACCCCATATGTTCTCTGAACCCTACTAGGAGTGATCACACACACACATATATGTATGTATATATGTATATATATGTATATGTATATATATTTTCATTTAAGTGAACAAACATAGAAACTCCTAGTTTACAGTGCCAGCGAGCAGCATTCAATCCATAGAAGCTAGTACTTTCATTAGTAAAATAGAAGCAAGAGTCTTTTCCATAACACAAGTTTTAAATCCATCTGCACCAAAACAGGATTATTGGGCTGGGAATGTGGCTCAGGATGGAGCATGTGTCTTGCGTCTGTGAGGTCCTGGGTACCACAAAGCTCTCATGCCTCACAGAGTGTTACCAACAGACACCCCCCCCCCCCACAGACACACACAACCCCTTTACATTTCAGCATAGGACCGGTAATATGGAACCAGATAAAAGGTTTGTATACTGTATAATATAAAAGGGATTTTTTTCTCTCTCTCTTTTGGTTTTTGGGTCCTACCTGGCAATGGTCAAGGCTTTCTCCTGGCTCTGCACTTCAGAGGTCACTCCTGGCAGGCTTGGGGGATCACATGGGGTATCGAGGATCAAACTCAGGTCCCAACATGCAAGGCAAGTGCCCTAACCATTGTACAATCACTCTGACTGCACAGGGTGGTACTCGGTTGTTACTCTTGGCTCTGCATTCCTGGCAATGCTCAAGGGACTGTATGGGATGCCAGAGATCTAACCCAGGTTGGCCATGTGCAAGGCAAATGCCCTACCCACTGTACTATCACTCCAGCCCCACAAAAGGCATTTTTACAGTAGATAGTTCTAGATAGGAATATAGAGATGAATATAGAGATGAAGGGGGGAAACATATGTTCTAAGATATTAATAGTGTTTATCTCTGGGTAATGGGATTGCAGGTGTTTTTTTTCCTATTCTAAACTTTATAAAAATAGAAATGCAGCAGCAAATGTTAAATCACAATAGAGATAGTAAAAAGCAGAATTGTTGTTCCAGCAAGCCAAATTGAAAAGTCTCTCAAATGCATAGGAAATGGATTAAGACCTAAAAAGAATAAAGGAAGTGACAAGATCTGAGATCAGAAAACGGATCTACAACCTAAGCCTTACAGAGATTCTTAAGAGAAATACTGGGCAGAGATATCAGAAGTTCTAATCAAAGTTCTTACTGAGAACATTTTTTTGCCAGGGATAAAATATATATGTGTGTGTATATAGATTAAAGTTAACCATGGACCTGGGAGATAAGACAGAGGGTAAGCTGCTGACACAGGTTCGATCCCCAGCACCATCTACAGTTCTCTGAATACCAACAGGAGTGATCCCTGAGCACCCAACCAGGAGTGATCCCTGAGCACAGCTGTCTGTGGCTCAAAAATTTAAAAAACTTTATTCGGTTCCAGCAAAACTCAATGAAAAAGAAATCCATATTGGCTAAATTTTATTTTCATAAGTAGGTTAAAAAACTAAATATACACACATGTCCATGTGTGACTACATATATAACCAAGCTACTCTTAAAAGAATGAAAGTCACCCCTGCCTTAGACTTCTCTATAACACAATGACCAGAAAACAGGAAGGAGTCAACCACCATCCAATGTTCTCAGGTAAGAATCCATCCAGGGAACATCCCACTCACTCACTTAAACTCACAAAGGTTTCTTGAAAGCACCTTCTCACTCACCCCAACTGAGCCAGAGGCAAACCAAATAGTTGCAGAAAGAGGACTCCACTCTGAGCTATGAAAGGGCTGTCATCTTCCTCAATCCAGCCCATTCCAGACCCAGAGATGGGACTGTTTTCCAAAGAATTCTATCATCTGGCAGGACTGACCACGTGCTTCCTGATTCTAGGGACCAACGCTGCAAAGCTCCGCGCAGAAGCTAAGGGTTGGGGGAAGTCCAGGGAGGGGGTGTCCTACAACTGGTTCCATCTTCATGAGGCATTAAAGGAAGTGGAAGTATGGCTGTTTCCCCCTGAAATGTTTGTAAAGGGAGGACAAAAAGTTCGGGGAAGTCCACATTTTACCCTTGGGAAGATATGAGGAGGCGACAAGCCACGTGGGGCTTGGAGCAACGACCCTCTGCGAAGTTCAGGAAAGGGGGTCGGGTGTCCCACTGGCTCCTGAGGTTCATTGCAATGCTTCTGTCCTCTCTGGGCCTGCACCATCACCAGACCCTCCCCAGTGTCCCTCAAGCAGGGGCTGGCCCTGGTGGGAGCCCCCGGGCCGGGGCTGTGGGTGGTCCCCGGAGGGCGGCTGGGCGCTCGCTGGGAGGCAGCGTTTGCAGCAGCTCTGGTCCCCTTGGGGCTCCCGAGCGGACGCGCGGCGGGCGGCCTTACCCCCGGGCCCCGTGGAGACGGTGACCTGCGCGTACGTGGTTCCCGCGGCGGCCGCCGGGCCCGAGACGCCGTTGAGCGCCGCCACGCGCACGGTGTAGCGCGCCCCGGGCCGCAGGTGCAGCAGCGTGGCGGCGCGTTCCCGCAGCCCGGCCTGGCGCGGCACGAAGGCCACGCGTGGCCCGCACGGCTCGCACGCGCCCGCCGGGCCCTCGCGGCCGCAGCGCAGGCACAGCAGCGAGTAGGTGACGTCGGAGCGGCCGCCCGAGTCGGCCGGGGGCAGCCAGCGCAGTCGCAGCGCCAGCGGGGAGCGGCTCAGGCTGTACTGCAGGTCCCGCGGCGCCGACGGCGGCCCTGCGGGGGACCGGGCGGTCGGCACCCAGGCGCGAGGAGCAGCGGGAGGCCGCCTGGGCAGGGGTGGGGGTGGCTGGGGGTCCGGGGCTCGAGTGTCTGGGGTGTCAGTGACAGAGGGGCGGGAGGGGAGCGAGGGGGGACCGGGACACAGCGTGAGAGAGGGGGACTGCCCCCAACCCCACCCCATCCTGGTGGGTGAACAGGGTCAAGTGAGGGCAAGGGTGGGTGGGGGTATTTGCCCTCACCCCTCTGGACCTCGTTTCCTCCCCAGGGCTGCCCCACATCCCTGCCCCCGGGTTCCCCTCCCCCCACCCCCACCGGTCCCCACTCTGGGAAAACCCTTCCCCCACCAACCCTCCCCAGCACCTTCAGCACCGCTGCCCAACCCCCGCCCGAGAATGCGTCTGGAGGGAGACTCACGGGTGCAGGAGGCCGAGGGCGGGTCGGTGGGCGAGCGCGCGTAGCTGTCCTGGCACACGCAGAACGTGGAGGCACTTTCCGGGGCCCGGCTGTGCTCCGGGCACGGCGAGCAGAGGGGCCATCTCCAGGACACCTTGTAAAACCCTGGGGGACAGGCTGCCAGAGCGCGTGAGGGGCTTCCCCACTCAGCTACACTCCCCTGCCTTTCTGCTCCCTGCACCAAGGGTTTTTTCCCCCCGGACAGTGGTGATGGGGAGTGGGCCTGGGGGGCTCAGCTACTCCTGCACTGCCCAATGGGGAGTCGGCAACAGAACGAACCACACACTATTACCTAACCCTTAGTCGGCTTGATGTGTGCAAAAGAGTGTTTTTACTTGTAATTCATTTAATCCTGGCAACTTGTGAGGTATGTACCTTGTTCCCCTAAAAAAAGAGGCAGAAAGGCTCAGAGAGATTAAATAACTTGCTCAAGGTCCCCAAACCTGTAACTAGTAGGATCCCAGACCAGGAGGTGACGAATATCAGTCCACATGGTACAGCCCTGATGCCTATTGAGGAAAACAGGCCACTCTTTGCAGTCTTGTTTTTGTTTGTTTAGGGAGAGTGGGGGAGCACACCCTTCAATGCTCAGGGGCTTCTCCTGGCTCTGCATTCAGGAATCACTCCTGACAGAGCTAAGATGTGGGAATCAAACCCAGGTTGGCCCCATGCAAGGCAAACGCCCTACACACACAGTGTTCTATCACTCCAGCCACACTCCAATCTCTCTTCAATGTGAAGAGAGATTTGAACAACCTCCATTGGGGGTTCCACCGTTACCTGAGACACCTACACACTCCTGGTTATACAAGACACACACACACACACACACACACACACATGCACACACACACCGAGTTAAGGCTCATTCACAAGACACAAACACACAGAGTTCAGGCTCATTCATAAGACAAACCCTCACACACACAAATATACAATCACACACATAGAGTTAAGGTTCATTCACAAGACATAAACACACACATAAACATACAATCACACACAGAATTAAGACTCATTCACGACACACACACACACACACACACACACACACACATATAAGTCTCATTCCCCCACCTCCACTCTCGGGTTAGTGTCTCATCAATTATCCACTACCATGGTTAGTTCCAAAAATGGAGTGGAAGGGCGTGGAGAACAAAGGGAACAGTGAAAGTTTCTGTGAGAGTTGAAACTAGTCTTGACTTTGCTTCTCTCACTTCCTGCCTCACCTATTACAATATTGTTAATATCCTAGCAAACTGGTTTTACTGCTGAGTTGTACCACTTATTTGCTGTGTTGCCTTAGGTACGTTGGTTTGCCTCTCTGAACTGTCATAAAACAACTATCTCCAAAAGGCTGTAGGAGGAGCAATAGAAAGGAAGCTTATAAAAATGCTTAAACAGGCAATATTCACATGATGATGGTAGTAATCACCATTCTCCACCCCAGGACTGAAGTGTAAACATCCACTTAAAGAAAAATGGGGACGGAGAGAGAGTGCAGTGGGTGGGATGCTTGCCCTGCAAGTGGCAGACCTGGGTTCAATCCCAGGCACTCCATATGGTCCCCTGAGCACTGCCAGGAGTGATCCCTGTGCACAGTGCCAGGAGTAACTCCTGAGCACCACCAAGTGTGGCCAAAAAAAAAAAAAATCACCAGCTGGACTAGGGAGGGAGAGAGTAGCCCTGGCCCTCCCCTCAAAGTCAGAGTGTAGCTTCCTTGGTTCTGTTCCCCACGCCAGCCTCAACCCCCCAGACTTCTCTGACCCTTCCCCTAGTGGAGCTGCTTCCAGGAAGGCTGGCTGCACTCCAGCCCCCAGAAGCTATCAGGCCAAAGGAGAGTTGCTGAAGAAGAACTTCCAAGCTGTCTGGAGAAGGGGAAGTCGCTGGGGGCTCCCCCTCTGTCTGCAAGGGCTGAGGTTGCGAGGGCCACCTTGCCCAGAGTGCTGAGCAATAGTCTTTGGGCAAAGTCTTCCCAGCCAGGAGCCTTCAAAAGCCTTCAAAACAAAGTCTGGGAGCCTCCCGCATCCCCAGCACTGCAGCAGCAACTGGTGTCAGAAGTTCTGTCCTTGGAACACCTGGGTCCTGTCCTTGGAACCCCATATAGTCCCAGAGCACCACCAGGAGTGAACCCTGAACCCTGATCACCTACAGGAATGCCCCTCTCAAAAAAAAAAAAAACGCGTTCCAAAATTCACAGTAACTCTACCACCTCCCATCTTTCCATGACCCTCTGGTTTCAATAAACCATCAGCCAGCAGCGGCCTGAGAAGGAACTAGCTCAACTTTGTATGCAGGAGGCCTGGTTCAGTCCTCCTGCACCTCACGGTTCACCAAGCACTAAGCTGGCAATAGGCCTGAGCACTGGCCAAAACAAACAAACAAACACAAGAAAAACCAAATCAAACAAAGAAAAAACAAAACAAGCCATTAGTCAAAAGGGAGTGATCCCAATGGCCAGTCTAGCTTCCTTGTAAACATGAGTGATCTGTTTGCTGGGTTGATCAGGCAGGGAAAGAATGCTGGAGGTGCTGTGTGTGCATGTGTTTGTGTGTGTGTGTATAATAGAGATGCTGTGAATATGGGTGTGGGTGTTGTGTGTGTGTGTGTGTGCTGGAGATGCTGTGTATGTATATGTGTGTGCGTGTATGTGTGTATGCTGCAGATGCTGTGGATATGTGGGTGTGTGCATGTGTGTGTGTGCTGGAGATGCTGTGTATTTGTGTGTGCATGTGTGGGCTGGAGATGCTGTGGATATGGGTGTGTGCGCATGTGTGTGTGCGCATGTGTGTGTACTGGAGTTGCTGTGTGTGTGTGCGCGTGTGTGTGCTGGAGATGCTGTGGATATGGGTGTGTGTGCATGTGTGTGTGCGTGTGTGTTGGAGATGCTGTGTATGTATGTGTGTATGTGCGTGTGTGTGCTGGAGATGCTGTGGATATGGGTATGTGTGCATGTGTGTGTGTGTTGTGTGCTGGAGAAGCTGTGGAAGTGGGGGGCCATGTGTCTGCTGATGGTGTCTTGTGTGACTGTGAGTGAGTGCTCGGTGGTGCCTTATTGCCGCCTTGGCCTGTGTCCTGGGAGGGTTGGGTGGAGGATTCCACTCCCCCTCCCTCTCCTCTCAAGGTCAGAGTCAGAGCAGCAGAAAGTCTAGTTCCTGCGCAGGGCCCCGCCCAGGCCCCCAGCGGCTGCTCCCCTCAGTTCCAGCCTCAGCCTTGACTCAAACCTTCTGAAAGCGAGCCCACCCTCAGCTGAGCGCAGGTAGGCAGAACCTTATTCCTGTGTCACGTGTCCAGAGGTTCCCTGTGTGCCCCGAACCCCCACTCTTAGCATATCTACTCCAGGGCAATCTGACCAGAGCTGGAGATACTGGGCATCTGTCCGGATGTTCCCCCAAAGAATCCACCCCTTGGGGTTCCTGGTCTGGGACAGTTCTGGCCTTATCCTTTGTCTCTGGGCCTTGTCCTGTGTTTCTCTGGGTAAACTCTGCTAAAGCACTTTGAGACAAATTCCTCCCTTAATAAGCAGTCGCTGGCTTCCCGGCCAGCCCCTACTCCCCAAGGCAGAGCTGATGATGTCATTGCATGTGGCCTCTGTCTGCTCTCAGCGGTCAGAAATGGGATTAGGTCCCTGAAAGCCAGCTCTTAGCCCTCTTCCCCCGCCTTTCCCCTTCTTCTGCCCCCACCCCCATCCACTGCAGAGTGAGCAGCCAACCCTTCTCCAGCCCCCTCCCCTCCTGTCCCTCCCCTCCTCCCCATGGAGTGTGCAGCCAACCCTTTTCCGGCCCTTTCTCTTTACCAAACTTCTCAGAAGCTGTATAGTTTGATGCTTTCGCTCTCCTGGGCTCTGGAAACAGTACGTGAAAGTGTCCTACTGTCCACTGAGACACATGCCCCTCTCATCTCCCTAGAGGCTATCTAGGGTAACTCCCTCCATACCTGGCCATCAGGCCTGCAAAGACCTCCATCCACACCCCCCATCCTTCTCTTCATTGCTTCTCGAACGTGAGGGGATGCCCCACCTCCTGTTGCAGGGCGGCATCCTCCTCCTCCTCTTCCTCCTCCTCCTCCTCTTCCTTCTCCTCATCCTCCTCCTCCTCGTCCTCCTCCTCCTCCTGCTCCTCCTCATCCTCCTCCTCCTCCTCCTCCTCCTCCTCCTCCTCTTCCTTCTCCTCCTCCTCCTCCTCCTCCTCCTCCTCCTCCACTCTCGACCCCACCCCATCCCTTCCCTGGTTGTTCCCATCATTATCTCGCCTCCTGATTCCTACACAGTGCCTTTGCTATAGGCTCTTTCCTGAGGCAGAGTGAGGAACTGAGTCCTTAGAGCAGCTGGGTTAGGGTGGAGGCAATCAGTAAGGCCTCATGTCCTCAAAAACAGCAGCAGAGGCTGGAGAGTGCTCACCTTACGTGGCTGTCCAGACTTCAAGCCCCAGCACCCTGAGCACCTCCAGGAGTTATCCCTGAGCAGAGCCAGGAATAAGCCCTGAGCATTGTTGGGTATGGTTCAAAAGAAGAAAGGAAAGGAAAGGAAGGGAAAGGAAAGGAAGGGAAAGGAAAGGAAAGGAAAGGAAAGGAAAGGAAAGGAAAGGAAAGGAAAGGAAAGGAAAGGAAGAGAAAGAAAGAAAGAAAGAAAGAAAGAAAGAAAGGGAAAGAAAGAAAGAAAGAAAGAAAGGAAGGAAGGAAGATGGGAGAAAAGAAAGATCGAAGATCAATGACTGAATAAATAGCAGTGCTCCTACATTATTAAAAAAAAAAGAAAAAAGAAAGATGGAAGGAAGGAAGGAAGGAAGGAAGGAAGGAAGGAAGGAATTAAGGAAAAAAAGTGAAAACAGCAGCAGGCATCAACAACTCTGAGACATCAGTAGTAAAACCCTTCCTCTGGGGACAGACCCATCCCACTCTCCCACACCCCCCACCCCTCAGGGTCTAAGTAAGTCTCTCTCACCTACAGCAAAGGCTCTCAACCAAATCTCAGAACCTCCTCCCCATGTCCTTTCAACTCCAGCCATCAAGAGAGGCTGGTTTATCCCAGACTCCAGCACCTCGCCTGCAGCCTCGGCCCCTGCAGCTGGGCTCCCACTCAAACTGTTCTCCCCAGGGCCACCACGCAGTTTTCCTGATCCTCACTGCGCCTGACTGCCCCAATACTGCAGTCATTGCCTCACAGACCCTCTGTCTCCCTGGCCTGTGTGTGACCTTTCCCCCATAACCTCCCAGTGCCTCCAACCTCTGATCCCACCCTCTCAGAAAGGAGAGACCCCATTGTTCTCCTTCCCCATTCAGCCCTGCTGCTGCTCTATGAAATTCCATCCTGGGTCCCCTTTATTTTGTGTGTTGGTTTGGACTCAGAGCCACATTGGTGGTATTCAGGCTCCAGGCTGCATGCAAGGCAAATGCCTGACCGCTGTACCATCTCTCCAGTCCCCAGCACTGGCCTCTTGCTTCTCATATGTTGAGGGGCGTCAGAGATTGAACTCAGGGCTTCCTGCCTCTGAAACACATGCCCTGGCCCTGCGCTACAATCCCAGCCTCTGGCCACAGCTCCCCCAGTCTCCCTGCTCTGTCCCCAGCACATGCAGCTTGGGCAGTAGCCACCTCCCGTGGCTGAGCCCCACATCCACCGTCTAGCTCTTTCCACGTGAATGCACCATGTTTTCTACCCCAGTGGGTTTTCTACCCCTGTCCATTCAGTCCTCCAGAAATGCACAAGTCAGCAAAGGCCTCACACGGTCACCTGGTGCCCCGCAAGCTGTCTCCATGTCACACCCCACCTCGTCGCTCAGCCATCGCTGCTGCTGCCCGTCACACCCTGTGCTCTCTCTCCTGGACGACTGAACCATCCTCCTTCCTCATCTTCTGGCCTTTAATCCTTCTCCAGTCCTTTCTCTGTAATTGCAGCTCAAGAGATTTCGAAAATACAAATCCAAACACATCAGATTCCCACTTCAAATCCTCCCCCATGGGTCTAAAGCATAACGTCTAAGCTCTTCATCTCGGTGTTCAAGGCCCATTGTGATTTTCTCCTGCTTGCTTTCTGTCTTATTGCTCCCCACACCCCCACATGCCTCCTGCGCCCAGGCACGTTGACCCGGCCCCGCCATGCTGCATGCTCTCCTCCTCCCACCTCTTTATCACAAAGCACTTGACTGCCTAAAGAAAGGCCTTCTAGGGGCTGGAGAGATAGCACAGCGGGTAGGGCGTTTGCCTTGCACGCGGCCGACCCGGGTTCGATTCCCAGCATCCCATGTGGTCCCCTGAGCACCGCCAGGAGTAACCCCTGTGCATCGCCAGGTGTGACCCCCCCCCCAAAAAAAAAGAAAGGCCTTCTAGCCATCTCCTTCCACTTAGGCTCAGTTAACCCCTTGTCTCTGTGGATTGGAGTCCAACCTGTGTTCCCCATTCACCCAGAGACATGTTCATTGGGTCCCTATCACCCAACACATTCTGTTACAGGCACTTGGGCTACAGAAATTAAAATGACTCACTATCTGTGCGCAAAACCTTTTATGTTTAGTTTTTAAATTTTGTTTGTTTTTGTTTAATTTGGGGGGTTTGGGCCACATTAGGCAGTGCTCGGGACTTACTTCAGGCTCTGTGCTCAGGGATCACGCCTGGGGGTGCTCAGGGGACCATTTGCAGTGTAAGCGATCGAACCGGAACCAGCTGTGTGCAAGGTAAATATCTTACCCACTGCACTATCTCTCTGCCCTACCCCCTACAAGGTTACAAGGGTCCTGGTTCCTTATTTTAGTGGTGGAAACACACACACACACATACACACACACACACACATACACACACACACACACACACACACACAGTAACTGCAGACCTTAGGGAAGGTGCAGAAACAGGTGTCACAGAGGAGGCTGAAGAGCACAGTGATGGACCCTGACCTACGGGAGAGCTCAGGAAGCTTCTGGCTTCCAAGTCCCTTTGCTCAGTCGTATATTTCCCCTGGGAAGAGGTGGTGATGTTAGTTTTTAATGCATCAATAAGCCTTCAATAAATGCAGACAATTCTTCAATTCACTCTTAATGACTGGTTGAAGGGAAAAAGGAGAGAAACTTTAGTCACTTCCTCTCATTATGGGAATTCCTCCGTGGTAGCTCTAATTGCCCTGTTGTAATTTTTAACTTCTTCCATCTCTCTATCTAGACTGTGTCTCGGGCGCTAATACTTTGCTTCCAGAAAAGAACCTGACATTGAAGAAGCATCGCCTGATCTCTCTGCACTACAAGTGCACCCGCTCATTCTGGGGCCGTAGCATTAGTACAGCAGGTAAGGAGCTTGCCTTGCACACAGCCAACCTGCATTTGGTCCCCAGAATCCCACAAGCTTCCTACCTGGAGTGGTTCTGAGCTGAGTCAGAAGTAAACACTGAGCCCTGCCAGAGTGCCAGAGTGCCCCCACCCCCGCCCAAAACAAAGTGCCCCCATCCTTGCCCTCAGTTCCCAGAGCCAGATAGCGGAGAAAAGAAGAGGCTCTTGCTAGATACTCACAAGCTCAAGACCCCAAGAGAAGCTCCACCATGGAGGGTCTCTCCAGGCTTCAGTTTCTACATCTAGTCATTATCCAAACCCCAATCACGGTCCACTCATCCTGCCAACTCCTGACTATTAATGTTGTTGGTGATAGGGGGTTCATTCCCTAGGATGTAAGTGCCCTAGTAGCCCTTAGGGGACAAAGGTAGGCCCTTGCCAGCTCTTTTAAGCATAAAGCAAGCAGCATGGTGCAGTAGAAGGAATCTGAGTTGGGCAAATCGCTTGATATGTCTCTCTTTCTTTGGTGCTGGGGATCAAATCCAAGACAAGTGCTCTACCATGGAGGTATGCCCCCAGCCTCCCTCTTTCCCCGTATAATGGCAAGTGAGATATTAATCTCTCTGAGCCTCTGTGTCCTCCTCAGTGAAATAGGGGTGATGCCTTATGTGCTTCTAGTAAATAAATGAGAAGACTTGTGTGAAGTGCCTATCACAGTGCTTGAATATATATCCCCTTATATGGGTGCTGCTTATTTCCAAAGGACCCCACTCACGGGCTCTGCCTCACCCCCACTGGAAGCACACGAAAGATCAGGACTCCAAGCCCCGCTGCCCTCCCTCTCCAGTTTCTTGCATCTAGGGTGCACCGTGAAGGCCTCCTGCATGCTCCATGCACCTCTGCAGTCCCTGACATACCTTCACAGGTATCACCACGTTCCTGAAATCCGGCACTGCAGCTGCAGCGGCCCACAGGCACCAGCCACTCGCCATCTGCCCCGCAGTGCATGCGCGGGGGGCTGCCTGGATCCCCTTCCGAATGCGCCACGCAGGTTCCCGTCACTTCCACCAACGTGGAGAAGGCGCTCTCTGCCGCCGTGGCTGGAAACACCGCCAGGCCGCGCACCGTGGCCCGACACTGCTTGTAATAGACGCGCACCGAGACCAGAGCCACGCATGCGCCCACGTCCTGGAAGGCCAGGTGGAAACCCCGGCGGTTGAGCGGGCCGATCTCCCGAACCTCGGTGTTCAGCTTCATCTTGCGTTCTCCCAGGTCGCCCTGCGTGAAACTCTCGTCGGCCGCAATTGTATCGATCTTGCGGGGCCGGCTGCTGCCCGGGCGCGGACGCCCACGACCTAGGTCGACCTCTGTCTCTAGGTAGTAGACGTTGAAGGTTTCCTTGCAGGTGCCTGCAGCGCCCGGGATGCTGCTGCAGTCGCGAAGTGTGAACTGCAGCTCCACGAAGATGCGCTGCCCACGGCCGCGGCTAATCCAGCCCGTCTGCAGCCAGTTGTCCTGGTTGGGCTCCAGCACATTGCACACCTGGTAGGTGCGGATGGGCCGATCATGCTCGTCCACACCACTGATCTCCTCCCACTGGCAGAGAAGCGGGAAATGTGCGCGGCTCAGAACCAAGGTGCCATCAGGCAGGGTCTGAGCCCAGGGGGTGTCTCATGTCGCAACTCTGAGCCCCTCCCCCACCAGAGAACCAACACCCCTGAAATGATCAGATGCGGCAGAGCTGGGGTCGAAAGAAACACACAACAAACAATAGGGGCTGGAGCAATCATAGAGCAGGTAGGGCACTTGCTTTGCATGCAGTCAACTGGGGGTTCCAGTCCAGGCACTCCATATATTCCCCCTAGCCCGGAGCACCTCCAGGTGTGGCCTCAAATAAACAAATAATAATAATAGTAAGGTAAAGGTAAAGGCCCTCCCATTGTTCGTCGATTTGCTCGAGCGGGCCCAGTAACGTCTCCATTGGAGACTTTGTTGTTACTGTGTCTGGCATATCGAATAGTCACGGGGAGCGTGCCAGGCTCTGCCCAGCGGGGGAGATACTCTCGGTAGCTTGCCGGCTCTCCGAGAGGGGCGGAGGAATCGAACTCGGGTTGGCCATGTTGGCTGCGTGCAAGGCAAACGCCCTACCGCTGTGCTATCGCTCCAGCCTTAATAATAATAGTAATAATAATAAAAACAGAAAATACAGTGCAGTCCAAACCTGAATTTTACAGATGAAACTAGGCTCCAAAGGAAAACCGAGTTTCCAGAGGGAAAGTGATGATAAGACATGCAGTGAATTAATCAGAGCCAAGAATGGTGTCTGGAGCCCAGGCTTGGCACCCACCGTTCTTTCTGGGACACGATGGTGCTGCCATATTTGACTTCCCCACCCAAGTGTCCAAGGTTCTTTTATGATTCCAAATCTTGCTTTTTCTGTCAACTTATCAATTAACAACTCTGCTAGAAGAGCTACAACATGCGAGGGATTGTCCAGCCTTCGACATCACCCAGCTAACATTTCAGTTCTTAGATACAGCCAGTCCAATCATTTGCTGCCCCCCATATTTTTTATCTTTTTCTTTTCTTTCTTTCATTTTTACTGTCTGCCTGAAGACTCGATATTTTCTAATAGGGCACTCTGGCTTGAAGCCAGGGCTGCTGGAGACCACATGCTTTGAGGAGCATTTTGATCTGCTGTAACCAGAATGAGCTAAAATAATTAATCCTGGACCACCAGAGGATCCTTGAGACACAGAGGGAAAGGCTTCCACTTACGCCATTACTCGGTAGTGCAGTCCAGCCCAACTCGGCTTGGGAGGCTTTGGAGTCCAGGAGGATGACTAGGGAGAGCAGAGAAAAGACGTCAGAAAGACCACAAGCTTGGGATTCTTTTTTTTTTTTAATTTTTAAATTTTATTTTCATAAGATTGTTTATATAAATCAATTACATTCAATATTTCAACACCAATCCCACCACCCTTACACCTTCCCACCACCATTATTTCGAATTTCCCCACCACCATTCAAGTCTGCCTTCCCCACGCAGATTCTAGATAATTTATCTTCTATTGTTTATTATGAATATCATGAGAGGTCACACAGTCGCAAAAGTGGCTGCACGCTCCTAGAATTCTAAATATGTAAATGATTGGGGTCCAGAGACATCTCTGTAGGGAGTTAATCATTTTGTGATTCATTTGTGAGTATCTGAATCAAGGCTGGTGGCATGCTTAAATATGGCCCAGTGGCAGTTCCTAAGCATGACATCCAGGACCCTGAAGGAGCTGGGAGACAGGAAGGGACAAACCATCACTGCCATGAGGCCTGGCGTCTTCAGACTCTGTTCCCGCATAACTGGGTTTTTCTTCTGAAAGTTTGTGACCACCAGGAATTTATCTGGAGTGGGCAGAGAAGGGACACCCACTCCATCTGAGAAGCCCCAGTGAAATCAGCTCGCCATGGGGTCTGGAGAGATCTCCTGCGAGCTGCTGTCTACCAAGATTCATTGCTGTGTCTGAGCTTGGAATTCCTTGGCAAGTTCACGGTAAATTTGCTGCCTGTGTTGTTTGCTTGTTTGGTTTGGGTTTGGGCTGAGCCCTGGTGGTGCTCAGGGATTATGCTGGAGGATTGATCCCCGTGGAGCTTGGTGGATCATGCAGTGGCAGCCTCAGACCTGGGCCTCTTTGGTGCAAATGCCTCTGTTCAGCCCATCGAGCCATCTCTGGTTCTAAACTTGAGGCTTGTGGGGGTGGAGAATGTAGCAAAGAACAGGATATGCTTTCCCCACTCCATTATTTCCCCAGGGTGTACATGAATGTACAGTTTAGGTCCGGACAGAGGCAGCCATAATGATTATGGAAGGCATCTGTGTTAATTTCCTGTAGCTGCTGTAGAAAATGACTGGAAACCTTGTGACTTAAAAGAACAGGAATGTTTCTTCTTAAAGATCTAGAAGTCAGAAATTGGAGATTTTATTTGTGTGGGGGCTACACCAACCAGTGCTCAAGGTTTATTCCTGGCTCTGAGATCAGGGATCTCTCTTGGGTGCGGGGGTTGGGGAGGATCATATGCGGTGCAGGGAATGGAACGTGGGTTGGCCACATGCAAGCAAACACCCTATTGGCTGCACCATGGCTCCAGTCCCTGGAGTCTGGGTGTTGACAGACTGATTTCTTTTTATTCTTTTTTGCTTTTTGACTCACACCAGGCGATGCACAGGGGTTACTCCTGGATTTGCACTCACAAATTACTCCTAACGGTGCTCAGGGGACCATATGGGAAGCTGGGAATCTGAAGCTGGGTCAGCCGTGTGCAAGGCAAATGCCCTACCCTCTGCACTGTCACTCCAGCCCCCATACTGGTTTCTTTTGGAGGCCAAAAGATGATAATTTATTTCCTTGTCTTTTACAACGTTTAGTGGACAATTGGATTCCTTGACTTGTGGTCCATTCCTCTTTCTTCAAAGAGTTTCACCCTAATTTCTGCTTCTGTCCTCACATTGCCTTCTTTGCTTCTGAGTCTCCCTGCATCTAGCTTATAAGGATCATTGTTCTTGCACTGGACCATTCAAGTAATCCAGACAACCTCTACACATCAAGATCCTTAATCATATATACAGAGTTTTACTATTTAGAATAACAATTATGGGAATAGGAAGGAGACATATTTGGGGAGTCATTATTCAACCTACTAGAGAGTTTATGGCAAGTTTTGGCTAAGATTGGCTCCAAAATGAGGAAGATGTCAGTGATCCCTAAGTCTTCCCAGGTGCCCTTCATTATAAGTGGTTGTCAAGAAAGAGAAAGGGTGGGGAAATGGCTCAAAGTTCTAGAGCAGTAGGAGACCTGGATTCAACCCCTGACACTGCACGATCCCCCAAGCAATGCTGGGAGCAACCTCCAGGCACTGAGATATTATTTGGCCCTTAGCATCAGCAGGTGTGGCCCCCAAATCACATAACAGTAATAGAGAAGGGCCAGAAAGATAGCTCAATGGGCGATAGGACATGATTTGCATGCAGGATGACTTGGTTTGATCCCCAGCACATGGTTCCCCAAGCACAGAGCAAGAATAACCCCCAGAGGGGGCCAGAACCATAGTGGGTCACTTGCCCTGCATGTCGCCAAACCAGGTTTAATTCCCAGAACCCAATATTGTCCCTGATGCACAATGAGGAGTAATCACTGAGCACAGAGTCAGGAGTAAGTCCTGAATACTTGTGGGTGTGGCCTCAAAACAAACCAAACCAAATCCCCAGACAACTACTGGTGTGAATTTTAAAAAAGGTGAAAGTGAGTGCAACAGGGGCCGGAACAATAGTACAACAGGTAGGGTGTTTGCCTTGCATGTGGCTGACCCGGGTTTGATCCCTGGCATCCCATATAGTCCCCCTGATCACTGCCAGGAGTAATTCCTGAATGTAGAGTCAGGAGTAACCCCTGTGGGTGCAGCCAAGGATTCCTGCATCGCTCTCAAAATCCATTTAGATGCAGGGGCTCTTCTGAAGCCTGGACCACCATGAATGGAGGATAATCAAACCTTTTTGGTTTGACTACTAAAATCTCTGGGGAAAACAAACTGGAGAGATCATCCAAGCAACAGAAGAAATTAAAATCTCTTCTCTCCTTCCCCAGGGGCTGTCACCTCCACTGTCTTTGAAAGCATGCCCAGGGGTCCTTTCATATATAAAGCCATGACCTCTGCTACATCAGAGAGATTTGGAGTCATTAGCTTCCTTCTGGTAGGCACCAGGCCAGCATACTGAATTCTGTTCTCAATCTCAGTCCCAAGGAAGCACAGGTTTGGACAGTATAGCTACAGATCAGAGAAAGGAGCCAGGCGATCCTGAAATGTTGGACGATTACTCATCTGGAGCTTAAGCAGGGGGGCGGGGCTGAAAGGTGAGGGGCTCTCAGAGGGTTGGCTCCAGATGTCTCTGAGATCGTGGGAAGGAGCTCCAACAGCGTCCTGATTTCCGTATAACTGACAGCACATTAGAATTACATATTGGAAAGCGTCAGCGATCCAGTGCCCAGACCAACCTGGCAGTCAGCGTCTGAGATTCCAGCTCCTCGAGATTCCAAACCTCGAGTATGAATATGATGCTCCTGAATTCAGCCGAGCATACAGCTCCCCAAAATCCAGAATCTGAGACAAGATGCGAGCTCAAGCACCGTGCGCAGCCCCGAGCCCAGAAATGCAGACTTCGCCGGATTAGTCTTCCGTTCCTAATTCAGCACTGCGGACAGCTCCCTCTCCAGCGGGTCGGAAGACGCCCGGATCCAGCCCGCCTGGACGCAGCCCGCACCGACCCGCGCTCCATCTCCTTTTTGCGCACGGTGGTCCCCCAGCATCTCTTGTTCGGTCTCCATCCCGCCCCCACCCCCAACGCTCCGATCTCACCTCCGTATCTCCACGTCTCCTCTGCTCTCTTCGTCTCCCCGCCCCCCACATCTCCCACCCCTGATTGCTCAGCCGGTCAGACTCACCGGCCCCAGAACCTGGGCTTCAGCCTCCCGGGTCTCCGTTCAGCCTCCCGAACTCCTCAGTGCCTCTCCTCCTCATTGCTTAGCCACCTTTTTCTCTCTTTTTCTTTCTTTTTCTGTCTTTTCTATTTTCTTTTCTTTTCCTTTTTTGCTTCCCGCTCCTGCTTGCTTCAAACCCCAGGACGACTCCAGTCTCCGTGCGACCCCTTCCCTCAGCACTCACGCCCCCCAACCCTCTTATCTGTTGGCGGCTCCCCGGGCTCCAAGAACATGCACCAGTCTCCTCACCTTCCTCCGCGGTCCCGGGCCTCCCAGGTCCCAAAAGCAGCGCTAGACAGAGGGGCATGAGGCAGACGAACAGGCGCAGCGGATGTGGGCCGCCGCCGGTGTCCATGGTCCGCAGACCGAGCTGTCAATGCGGCGGCGGCTCCAGCCGCGCCAGCGCCAGCCCCGCTGAGCTGTGCCCCCAGACCCAGCGCCGGCTGGGGGCGGGATCTCGCCGGTTACCTTCATTCATGCGGACCAATCACCGGGCGCCGGGGCGCGAGGTCCGCCAATCCTCGCCCGCGGAGGGTGGAGCTTCGGAGGCCAGAGGCGGAACGGCGAACTGGACTGGGGAAGGAAAGGGTCCCGCCAATCTCCAAACCGTGGGGGTGGGGCCGCGCCGAGCGCCGGCCGGGCTGGCGGGGCGGGGGGCACCGGCCCGGGTGGCCCCGAGCGCTGAACCTTTGCCTCTCCCTCTGGAGCACTGGACGCTGTGGGCGTGGCCGGAGGCGGGGCGAGCCGGCGCGAGACGGCGCCACTCGCAGCCGAGCGAACCTGAAGCCCCTCTTGTTCCCTGGATTTAGGGGAGAGGGGCTTTCCACCTTGATGCCCGGACCCCAGTTCGGAGGGGCAACTCTGGCTCCCCGGTCGGCCTTGGACTCTCCCTTCTGCCTCCAATTCCTGGCTTCTCCCTGTATCTGCAGCTCCTGGTGCCTCCTGGCTCCATTCCGCCCCCTTTTCTACACACACACACACACACACACACACACACACACACACACACACACACACGAGAAAAAGACCCCCCAAGACTCCTCAAGAGCAGAGTCTGCAGGACCCAAAGACACCGGGTCTCAGCAGTGCTTCCGGAGCTGGGAAACCCCGCGGGCCCCAGAATTGGGGGGCGGTCGAGTCTGCATAAATAAAGGGTCTGTGCCTAGGGCCCAGGCTGCTGCTGCCCGCGCCCGGCTACCACCGCTTGCCCGCGACAGTTCGAGCCTGAGTCTCTTACTTTGATCCTTCCCGGGGGACCGGGGAGGGGACGGGCCACGGGGTCCCCGCCGCGGCCACGAGAGGCCGAGAATCCTCCCCGAGTTCAGCAGAGAAGACGCGGGCCAGGGACGCGGAACGCGACCTCTGTCTCGTGAAGGTCATTTACGTGCAAGATGAGGGGTAAGGCATGGGTGGTGCGACGGTCTGGAGCCCTCCAGGACCAGGAGGCGGCTGCTGAGCGCCACCATCTGGGCTGGACTTGAGCGGAAAAAGCGCCACCCACCCTCGGGCTTCGCCAGCCCAGCTCTTAGGGCTCCCCCACACCCTCGCTCCGGGGTGGGCGTCGCAGCTGGAGCAACGTGACCCAGGAGAGAGTCCTGTGTCTGTGTGGTCTGGGGGGCCCGCGTGGCCGCATGCTGTACGTCTGCATTCTTCTCCCTACCAACCCACACTGCCTGCATGCGTGCTGGGGGCTGGGGCTCCAGGGGGGACTCGCTCGGCCCCTCCCACAGTCCAGACCTTCTTGAGCATCAAATGTGATCTAAATCCTGGCATCTGGGGGCACTGAACATTCCCAAACGGCTTCCATGTGCCCTCTCGCTCGTCAGGTCCCTCCGTGAGTGTGTGTGTGTGTGTGTGTGTGTGTGTGTGTGTGTGTGTGTGTGTGTGTGTGTGTGATGTATGTATACACACTTGCCCATTCACTGACTTGCTGACTGGGCAAGAGAGACCGGTGGTTCCTTTGCGCGCCAGAGGAAAGGTCACCAGGAGGGACTTGGGCTCAGACAAACCGGGAAACTGAAGCCCGCTGAGGAAGCGGGAGGCGGGGCGACAGCCGGCCCTGGAGTGCAGGCGGGGCTTTTGAAACGCTCTACCTGAGAGAGTGCTCCCACACCCGCCTCCTCCCCATCTCCATTCTCCTCACGCTTGCTCTGCCCCTCCCCCAGCGCTCCGAGATGGTATTTTTAGAAGCTGCTTAGAGATCCAGGACTCCTTTCATTTCCAAACGAACCTTCTCCGTATCACCCCTCACCCTCTCTTCAAAACCCAGACCCATCCCCTTTGCAGGCTCTGAGGTACCAGGCATATCTTCCTTCCCACCCAAGCTCCCAGGACTTCATCGCACAGGTTCTGACCATATGTGCTAGAACCAAACACTCACTTCCAACGGGCTTCCCAAGGACTACAGGGTCAATTCTCTGGGGAAACCCAGAGGATTCCCCCGAACACCCTAGCTGTCAGGAGTCTGGACCCTTCCCTCTTCCACCACACACACCTGCAGGCGTCTTGCAGAAATGGCCAGACTGAGACCCCCAGGGATGGGGAGAGAAGAAGAGAAGAGGTGAAATAAGCCTCTTTCTGAGCCAGAGCAATAGTACATTAGAGAGGGCGTTTGCCTTGCATACAACTGATGCGGGTTCGACCCCTAACATCCTATATGGTCCCCTGAGCACGCCCGGAGTAATTCCTAAGTGCAGAGTCAGGAGTAACCCCGAGCATTGCAGGGTGTGACCCCAAAACACCCCTTTTCAAGAAATCCTCTTTCTTCCTCTGAAAAATTCATTTCCAATCTAACCAGAATGGAGAAGCCACCAGTGTAGTCAGACAGTACAAATTAACCTGATCTTAAACAGAGTTGCTCCAAGGTGGGCGCCACTCCACCTGGAGGCTGAGGTCAAGACACTCAGGAGGACCTAAGAGGGAAATTTAGCCATGGTTTATTGCCTTGTACATGTGGAGGGGCACAGTTTACCATGGGCATCTTAGATTCCTCCCTGGAAAAGGCAGCATAGGGCACACCCCCTGCCCCCACACCAAGGCTCTGATGATCATGGAGCTGAGCAATCAGTGAGGTCAGTTCTTGATTTGTCTTAGTGCTCACTCTTCTTTTGGTGGAAGGTATGGCTCAGGTACGCCCTACCCCATCACCACGGCTGACACCTCCCTCCCCTGCCCTGCGCCTTTGGGCCACACCCAGTGATGCTCAGGGATAACTCCTGACTCTGCACTCAGGAACATATGGTTTTTTCGGGAACTGAACCTGAGTTGACTGTGTGTAAGGCAAGCACCCTACATGCCATACTACCACTCAGGCCCCAGTCTTCCTTTTCTTTCTGTTTTTGGGCCACACCCAGAAATACTCCAGTCTCTGGCTCCAGAGTAATTTCTGGCAATCATCAATGGGTCATACAGTGCTAGAGATTGAACTCAGTCCTCTTGGATGCAAAGCATGTGCCCTAGACCGTTGGACTATCTTCAACCCTGAACTCCGTGTGTGTGTGTGTGTGTGTGTGTGTGTGTGTGTGTGTGTGTGTGTGAATAGTCAAGGGCCATTCCTGACTCTGTGCTCAGAAATTACTCCTGGCAGTATTCTGGTAACTATATGGGATGCTGGGGATCAAACCTGGGTCAGCTGCATGCAAGGCAAGTATTCTCCCTGCTCTACTGTCTCTCTGGCCCCAACTCCACTATTTTCAAGTGATTCTTGACTTCTCTGTAACCACTCTGATCCTTAGACCTGGGCTCACTGCCTGATCCTTAACCCAATAATCATTATTCCGCAGTTGCAGTGTCCAGGAGACAAGTATCCTTATTCCATGGAATAAGAGTGGAGGTGGCTGGTGCCCATATGGAAACTCCTGGTGTTTTTCTTCTATTTATCCCAGTACTTCTCCCATACCCCATCTGAAGTAGCATGGAAGAGACGCGCCTCTTCATCTACCCCACCAGCTCCAGTTCACAGGAAGAACATCTGTTGGCACTGAATAGTTTATTTCAATATCCAAGCAGTGAGAACTGGCTTTCCATGGACTAAATTTAACTTTATTGCAACTTTCATCTCTAAATTACTGAAAGTTACAAATCATAGGGCTAAAAATTAAATTGCATCTTTTTGCACAGACAAAAAATTCATGGTCACCCTGTCTGGGTAGAACAGGTCATCTTTTCCATAGAAAACAAAAATTGCTCCAGAGAAATCAAGATCAAGTCCTCTGTCAGGACATAGGACAGGGCCAGAGTGACAGTACATCAGGTAGGGACTTTGCTTTGAATACGGCTAACCTGGGTTCTATATGGTCACCTGATCTGGCCAGGAGTGATTACTGAGCACAGAGCCAGGAGTAACCCCTGAGCATTGCCAGGTCTGGCCCCCTCTAAAAACCAAAACAAACAAAAAGGAAAATAGGATAGGGATGAATAAATATGCAATGGAGATGCCTATCCTCAAAGCCAAATTTCCAATTTGTCTATTTTCCACCTATCATTACATCTCTCTATCCCAGGCTAAGAAAAGAATGACTATATCCAAAGCAAATTATTTTCCAGAATAATAAGCTTATGGGGGAAAGTGACAAGTGTTATAAACACATTTAGACTAAATATTTTCTAAAGTAAAATATAAAACATTTTCTTCATTGATTCTGGATAATTAAGTAGAAAAAAAATCCTTAAATGATCAAACACAAGAATGTTGCCTTTCCAAGTTCTGTAAAACAAAAATGATAAGGTTTCAGAGTTATTCTGAGGTCACAATCAGATTTATGTTTATGAGCTAGCATGGTTCTGGTATCATTTATTACTAAATCCCAACATTAATTAAGATGAAAATGGAAAACATAAGAAAGGGAAATGAAGGTTAAATGGCAAGGTAGAGAGATAGAATTAGAGGATAGTGATAAGGGAAAAAACAGAATGAGAAGGAAACAGGGAGACAGTGGACTGCAGAGATTGTATAGCAGGAAGAGAGCTTGTCTTGCATACAGCCAGTCTCAGGTTGATCTTGATCTTGATCTCCAGTACCACATAGGTTATGGTTCCCCAAGTTCCACCAGGAGTGAGACTTGAGCACAGAACCAGGAGTAAGCCCTGAGCGCTGCTGGATGTGGCACAAAACCATAAAAAGACAGAGAGAGAGAGAGAGAGAGAGAGAATAGGCTGAGATGAATTGACTTTTTTTCCTCTTTGGGTCACATCCAGTGATGCTCAGAGGTTACTCCTGGCTCTGCACTCAGGAATTACTCCTGGCAGTGCTTGGGGGACCACGTGGGATACCGAGGAACGAACCCGGGTCGACCGCGTGCAAAGCTTGCCCCTGAGATGAATGTGACTCTAAAGAGCAGGAGCCTGAAGCAAATGTGTTTGAAGAGGCAGGAGTGCCATTAGGGAAAGGTGAATGACTAGCTGCCAAGTGGCCCTGAGATGATATTTACCTTAATAAGTCATTTTCCAGGTTCATAAACTTGCTTTTAACAGAACACACCAAAGGAAAAGTCCTATCTATTCAGGGCTTGGAATAGATTGCAGAACATAGCCCCTATCCTGGTCTCTATGTTGAGGAAGCAATATGTTAACTCACAACAAGAAATGAAACCACCAAGGTGTCCAGAATGCTCCCATTCCCATGTCCAGCAAATGCCTCCCGTGATGGAGAATGTGCACGGAAACCAATTCAGAATGTGAAGTTTGAGCTATGAGGAGGTGGGTGTGGGAAGGGGGGAGTTGGACAGTTTAAATGGTGGGTAGCAAAGACCAGAGCAATAGTACAGTGGGTAAGGCACCGTAAGGTGCTTACCTTGCAAGTGGCAGACCCATACATACTTCTCGAGCACCACCAGGAGTGATTACTGAGTGCAGAGCCAGGACTAAGCCCTGAGTACCTCTGGGTGTGGCTCAAAAAAAGAATTAAGTGGATGGCACCAGGGTTCTGAAAGCTTGGACATCTGAATCCCCAGCAGGTATAAATCTGCTAATGGCACCCAAACAATTGCACAATAGACCCAGGCTGGGAATGGGACCCATCAACATGATTCTCTGGCTGTTTTGTTCATCCCAGTTTCGTTTCTGAATTAACTCATTTAAGATAGAAGCTATTTTAAAGCTGAAATTAGAGCAGGGCATCTGACTAAATATCTCAAGCCTACTTGTTTAGTCAAAGCTGGTTGGAAGGACAGCATATTAGATTACTATAACTTTGCTCACAAATGGCCACAAGCCTAGCAACTGGAACTCGTACACATTTATAATCTCACCATTTCCATGGATCAGGTCTGGGCCCAACCTAGGTGGGTCTTTTATTTGGGGTCAGGAAGACAGCCAGGGCTGCATTCTCACCAAAGGCTCAACAGTTTGGCAGAATGTTGGCCACAGGACCGAGGAGCCTGGTTTTCTGGCTATCTGGTGGCCAGAGGTCCCTCTGAGTAATTAGAAGCCATCCCTGAGTAATTAGAAGCTCCTGCCACTGAGATTCCCCACACAGCAGCTCATGCCATCAAACCCATATGAGTCTCTCATGTCAAAGTTGCCCACTGCCTCTTGTTTTTTAGTAATTATTATTTTTGGTTTGTGGGCCACATCCAGCAGTGCTCAGGGGTTACTCCTAGCATGCTCAGGGGTCCATATGATATACCGGGCATTGAACCTCGGTCAGCTGTGTGCAAGGCAAATGCCCTCCCCACTGTACTATCACTCCTGCCCCAGTCCAGTCCCTCTTTTAAGGAATTAATCATGATTTAGCCCCTTTCAATGATCTCAGACTCAACTGAGTTGAGACCTTATTATGTCCTACAGAATCTCACCCCTTTGCCACATTCCGTTGGCTGGGAACAGGTCAGAGGGCCCAGCACACTCAGGGGGAGGATCCAGAAAAGCATGAACGCAAAGGAGCAGGAATGTAGGGGTTTCTCTAGGATCTGGCTGTCATTCACAGAAATATTTAGACAGACTCAAGGGAAGGGTGGAAATATCTTCAAAGAACAGACAGGACTGTCTGGTCAGAGGCAGAGCTGGGCCTATAAGTTCCCACACACAGAGGCAATTGCTCAAACCTTTTTTTTTCCTTTTTGGGTCACACTCGGCAATGCACAGGGCTTCCTCCTGGCTCTGCGCTCAGGAATTACCCCTTGCGGTGCTCAGGGGACCATATGGGATGCTGGGAATCGAACCCGGGTCGGCCGCATGCAAGGCAAACGCCCTACCCGCTGTGCTATTGCTCCAGCCCCTGCTCAAACCTTTTTATAAGAATTTTTTCAATTGCTGGTTTTTGGTTTGTTTCGTTTGAGGGCCACAGTTGGTGGTGTTTGGGGACTGTTGCCAGGATCTCAGGGAAACTGGAGTTGGGATAGAACCCGTGACTGCTGCATGCAAAGCCGATACTCTTTTGAGCCATCATCCTAGTACTTCCTTCTCTTTACCCCTCATCCTTCTGAAGTTAAATGAGTTCCAATTTCTTCATTTAGCAGCTGCCACACTTTCCTCCTTGTACTCAGCCATATCAAAGCACCTGGCCTCCATGACAACTACCTTGTCCAGTTCTCCTGTGGCTGCTCTGGTCTGCCTTGATATGACCTTTTTTTACTTACCTCAGCACTGCTCATGTGGTCAAATTCCTTGGGAAAGAATCTAATTATGTAGTTTGGGCCAGATATTGCTATCAAAAAAAACTATGGTCACTGTAACAGAGCCATGGTGACCTCTGAATGGCCACTTAATCAAGAGGAGTATAGGAACAGTTCCCCCAATTTGTATCCTTCATTCTGCTGCATCAAAATGGACAGCTGGAAGTGGAGGTAACTGTTCTTGCCAGAGATTTGGCCTGGCTACCCTAGATTATATAGAAACTCCATTAAGGCCTGAAACACACCGTCTTGTTCTCTGGTGCCCTTCCTAGAAATGAAATTGTCCCAAGGAACTTAATTTCCTTTAGTGGTGAGTGTCAAATCCTGGCTGTAAGTTCACTGCTGCCTTTTCTCAGGGTTTAGGATTGACAGAGGTGCAGACATGCCAGGAGGAAGTGTCATGTGCATGCGGGGAGGGCATGGTGGACATAATGACACTATTGGGTTGAAATAAAGATCTCTGCTCAGAGCTGGATGTGGTTCAGAAATGAATAAATGAAAGCTCATTACTTATTAGTGAAGAGTATTTTAGATTATAATGTACTCACTGGTAAATTTAACCCAAAATAATGACCCCCTGGCCAGAGACAGTACAGGAGGTAAGATGATTGCTTTGCAGGTGGCCAAACTGAATTCAATCCCCAGAACTGCATATGGCTCTTCCAAACACTGCCAGGAGTAATCCCCTGAGCAGAGAAAGGAGTAAGCCTTGAGCACTGCCAGATGTAACCCCCCCAAAAAAATAGCAGCACAGTCACATCAGATCCACGAAAGAGGAGAGCTGGACAGCTGGACAAGGAAGTGTATCAGGAGAGTGATCAATTTCAACCTCTAGAGGGGCCTTCCGCTCATGTCAAGGTTTCTGTCATCCAGGCACTCTCCTGAGCTTCTTTGGGCTCAATTTTCTTTTCTTTCAGTTTTTGGGTCACACCCAGTGATACTCAGGGGTTCCTCCTGGCTTTTCACTCAGGGATCCCTCCTGGTTGTGCTCAGGGGACCATATGGGGTGTCGGTACTTGATCCCTTGTCAACCACATGCAAGGCAGGAGCATTACCCACCGTATTATCTCTCCATCTACTGGGCTCATTTTTCTTTGACTCAACCTGTTTTCCCATGGCCAATCCCCCAGGATGCAGTCTTGGACCACCAGGACCACTGTGCACAGAGCACTCTGGACTTCAGGTGGTTTCCAGACTGCAGAGGCAATTTGAACCAGGGATCTGGTTCTTGTGGTGGTGGTGGTGGGGACTTTCTATTTAATCCACACTTAAGTCCACAAATTCCCCAATTACCCCCTCTCCTGAGCTAGAAATTCCCCACATTTCCCAACATTGCTTCTCCTCTTTCTGAGTTTCTGAAAATTCATTTAATCAAGATTTAACAGACAGGACCCGAGGATGTGGTTCAGTAGGAGAGTGGTAGGTTCAGTGGTAGAGCCCCCGCCAGGAGCGATCTCTGAACACAGAGCCAAGGGGAAGGCCAGAGCACCTCTGGGTGTGACTCGAAAACCCAAAATAAATAAGAAAATAAATAAATAAGCAGAGTAGGACGCAATGCATATCGTCTAGAATATCATACCAGAGTCTGCAATTCATTCAACAAACAACCTCGGGCTGGGGGTCATGAGGGGCACTGCCAGACGTTTCTCTGCAGGCCTTGGAATTTACAGTTGGAAGGAAGCCTCCGCATCTGCGCTCCGGAGCACAGGGCCCAGGAAGCCGGACAGACACGCGGTGAGGACCGACTTTCTGTGAGAGATGCAAGACAGAAGCATCTCTCGGCGTCCCCCGGCTTCAGGATGTGCTGGGGACCACAGCAGGGCCGTGCAGAGCGTCCTGATGCGCGTTCACGCTTTCCCTCTTCCTCCAGCCTCCATCCAGCCCAGGCCTGGGAGGCAGGAGAGGTGGCCCAGGGTCTGGGGTGCCGGCGCGGAAGGGTCACCCCCGAGGTCCGCGGCGGGGCGAGCCGGGCCGGAGGGAGGAGCCCCCGTGGACGCGCCCGCGGGCCCGCTCGCCCGGTTCCCACCGCTGCGGCGCCCCCTGCCGGCCGCGCGCCGGGCTCGGGAGAGCGCCCGGTCGGGTTCCCTCGGCGGGGCCTGCCCCGACTGCCCGGCGGAGCGGGCGGCAGGTCCTCGGCGGGTCCCGCGGCCGGCCCGGGCCCTCGCGGCGCCGCCCCGCGCCCCTCCCCCCGCGCCTCCGCCTCCCCCCTCCTCGCGCGACCACTTGGTCTGCGCCGGCTGCGTTCCGGGGGCCGGGCCCGCCCGCACTGCGGGGCAGAGGCCGGGAGCGGCCAGGCCGCGCGCGGCGCGGGGCAGCGGCGACCCCCGGGCTCGGGCCATGGCGCGGCGCGCGGGGCGCTAGGCGGGCCGGCCGCGGGGAGCGCAGGGGCCGCCATGGCCCGGCGGCGCCGCCGCGCCTGCATCGCGCTCTTCCTGGTGCTGCTCTTCGCCTTCGGCACGCTCATGGGCCTGCGCACGCTCAAGGCGCCCGACGGGCTCCCGGCGCTGGGCCCCGGCCTGGAGCTGGCGCCCTTCGAGCGGCGCCCCGAGGCGGCCCCCGCGCCCGCCGCCCGCGCCCCCGCCGCGCCCGCCGCGCCGCCGCCGCCGCCGCCGCCGCCGCGCACCGCGGGCCCCGGGAGCCCCCCGGCGCGGGCCCCCGCCGAGCCCGAGCCCGCCGCGGCGCGCAGCCTGCGCGTCTACTCCGACCTGCACGCCTTCTACTACTCCTGGTACGGGAGCCCGCGGCGCGAGGGCCACTACGTGCACTGGGACCACGTCATGGTGCCGCACTGGGACCCCAAGATCTCAGCCAGCTACCCGCGCGGCCGCCACAGCCCTCCCGACGACCTGGGCTCCAGCTTCTACCCCGAGCTGGGGCCCTACAGCTCCCGGGACCCCGACGTGCTGCGGGAGCATATGACCCAGCTCAAGGAAGCGGCCATCGGTGAGTGACCCCAACTCCCGGCCCCCGCGCCCCAGCTGGCCCCCTTCCCCTGGACTCGCTTCTGTGCGCGCGCGCGCGCGCGGCGAGGGCCCGTCTCCACGGTCTGAGGTTCAGATTCTGCCCCCTCTCCCTTGGGGCCCCCACGGTCCCAGCGCCGAGCTGCCGGGAGGGCACATGGAAGGGGGTTGGCCCCGGGTTGCCCCCCCACCCCCCGCAGCCTCCTGTTGGAGAGTCCTCCGTTTGGCCAGGTGAGGCCTGGGGACCTGACCCTACAGGAGTCCAGGACGCTCTGCGGCTGGGAGGCAGGCCGGACAGGGCAGGGGAGTGTTCCTGCCACGCTAGCTGCCGCTCCGACCCACACTGCCTGGTGGCCCCTGTTCTGCACTGGAGGTGGGCGTGGGGAGCAGATGCTTTTCGCCGACTACTGAGCTTTTCACGAGGTTCCTGGCATGAGCTGGAGCTCAGCCGGCTGAGCACAGGCTTGGCATGCAGGAGAGCTGAGGTTCACCCCCAGCACCACATGGTCCCTTTCCACCCCCGCACCATCAGATGTGGCCCAGCCCCCTCCCCCTTCACAGAAAAAGTCTCCTCTGTAGGCGGGGCTGGGGAGGTTCACTTGTTTCGACTGCAGTCAATTGTTTTTTACAGCACATTTTAGTTTATCTGAAAATGGTTAGGGAGGGAGGGAGCAACTTGTGTGCCAGAGACACTCGCAGGGCGTGGATAAGTGAGACAGAGGCTGTTCTTCAGGAGTTTCATGTGGAGGGACAGGCAGCCCAGACAAATGTTATCTCCTGGAAAGAGGAGCTTTGGGAGGGCTGTTCTCCCAGCTAGGACCCCAGACATGCTCCTTTGTTGCTGAGAGGCCTGTGGAGGAGGTGGCCGTGGCCGTAGTCACCCCATCCCTTTGTTTCACTGCTGCAGAGGCCACGGAGAGAGGGCTCTGATGTCAGGCTCCTTCATAGCCAGCGGTCTGTGCAAGGTTCCCACAACCACTGGTTTCAGCACCACACTCTTGGACAGCTCCAGAGTTGCACAAGGATGTGAGCCCCAGGAGTGAACCTGGGGTTGGGGGGTCCTGGCTAGAGGTTTCATTCGGAAATTGCCTCACCTGGGGCCGCTAGATAGTGCAGTGGGTAGGACGCTTGCCTTGCTTGCAGTCGACCTGGGTTTGATACCCAGCACTATATATGGTTCCCTAAGCACCACCAGGAGTGATCCCTGTGCTGTGCCTTGCAAACAGATAACCCAGATTCACTTTTCAGTACCATATGTAGTCCCCCTGAGTCCTGAGTATAGCCAGAGATGGCCTGAAAAACAAAACAAAACAAAACAAAAAAGAACTAAATCAGCCACCATCTCAGAGTTGGAGGAGGTTTGTGAGGAAATGGGCGGGAACACTGTGTGTCTGTGAAGAGGTCTTTCTGTTTGTCTCAGGTGTCCTGGTCTTGTCCTGGTACCCACCTGGCATGGCTGATGATAACGGGGAGCCCTCAGACGATCTGGTGCCTGCCATTCTGGACACTGCCCATCAGTACAATATCCAGGTGAGTCTTCAAGAAGTGGAGCATTTAATCACTACAGACTTCCTTTCTGCCCTTGGGTTTCATTAGTGTCTTACATGAATATCTAGACTCTAGCCCAGATACAGCTACTACAGATCAATGGGGCATTGGGGGTGGGGTTTCAATAATAGTGCCCGGGCTGGTGAGATGGCTACAGGGGTTAAGGTACGTTCTGCTGACCCAGGTTTGAATCCCCAGCACTACATGTGGTTGCCCAAGCACCGCCTGGAGGGAATCATGAGCACAGAGACAAGAATTGCTCCTAGGACCACTGGGTCTGGCCCCAAATCACAAAAAATTAAAATGATAATTTATAAAAGTTAATAAATATGGGGCTGGAGAGATTAGTGCAGCAGGCCACGTGCTCACTTTCCATGCAGTTGACCTGGGTTCAATCCCCGACACCCTGTATGGTCCCTGAGCATCTCCAGGAGTGATCCCCGAGCTCAGAGGTAGGAGTAAGCTCTGAGCTCCACTGGGTGTGGCCCCAGAACAAACAAAAGTAATAAATAGTGCCTGTCACTTTTTTTTTGGGGGGGGGGAGATTGTTGGGAGTTGCATACTGGCAGTGTTCCGGGGCTCCTCCTCTTTGCACTGCTTGAGGGACCATGTGGTGCTGGAGATGGAACTCACTCAGCACACTCCTCAGCCCTGTCCCCAGCCAATTTTTTTAAATTCTGAAATAAATAAAGTGAAAACTAAGATCAAATGGGAAATCAAATACGGTAAACATCACAATCACCAAGGTTAGCTTGGAGCCCAGAGTGTGGAGGCAGGGCTGAGTGGACCCACAAACTCAATTCTGGCCTCACCTCCCCAGAAGGCAGCATGGCTGGGCCCCTCCGGGAGAGAGCAACAAGGGTTCTTGGCAGGAGGCTTACGCTCACAGAGAATGAAGCCATTCACCTCTGCACGTCCTGCTGTATTCCCTTTCTGTTTTGTTTTGAGGCCACGTCTGGCAGTGCTGGGGTACTGCTCCCAACTGTGTGCTCAGGGGTCACCTCTGGCAGTATTCGGGGGATTATGCTGTGCCATATTTAAGAAAATATTAACACAGGCCTTCGAAAATATCAAATCCATGCCTGCTATGTACATAGCATATGCCCTTTGAGCTATCTCCCTGGCCCCTGTCACTATCACTGTCACTGTCGTCCCGTTGTTCATCGATTTGCTCGAGCGGGCCCAGTAACATTGTGACACTTGTAACTGTGTTTGGCATATCGGATATGTCACAAGGAGCTTGCCAGGCTTTGCCATGCGGGCGAGATACTGTTGGTAGCTTGCCGGGCTCTCCAAGAGGGCCGGAGAAATTGAACTCAGTCAGCCACGTTGGCTGCATGCAAGGCAAACGCCCTAACCGCTGTGCTATTGCTCAATTCCCCCCTGGCCCCTATTTTTATTTATTTTTATTGTTCACAGTCATTTATTACATTCAATATTCCAACACCAACCCCACCACCATTACACCTTCCCACCACCATTATTTCCTACTTTCGAACCACCACTGAAACTTGCCCAAATAGCAGGCCCTAAATGATTTATTTCATACTGCTTGTTATGGTTAATTCGATAAAAAGGGTCAAAAAAGTATTTCCTAAAAAAAATGTGTGAAGCTTGTTGTAGAGCCATTAAGCTCTTATATAAGAGATTACTAACTTGTTGTTAAGCCTTGTCTGTTAATATTTTCTTTTTTGGTTTTTGGGTCATACCCGGCAATGCACAGGGGTTACTCCTGGCTCTACACTCAGGAATCACCCCTGGCGGTGCTCAGGGGACCATATGGGATGCTGGGAATCGAACCCGGGTCGACTGCTTGCAAGGCAAACGCCCTACCAGCTGTGCTATTGCTCCAGCCCTATGTTAATATTTTCTTAAATTGTTTTCCTTCCAATGTGGTGTGTGACTCTTGGTATATAAGTGATGCAGAGTATGAGATGTTGCACAGCTGCCAAAGTGGTCCCTGACCCCTATTTTACCTAATTGTAGAAACCCAATAAGTCATTTCTCTCTCCTGAGAAGAGAAAGACAGTGAGAAGCCCCACTCCCGTTCCAGAACCCACCACTGAGATGTTGACTATAGTATGGTATGTTTCCCCAGAGAACAGAGGACAGTATTGGTACCTTCTTCCTGTTGTTCAGGCAGCCAGTGCCAGTCACTTGGAGCTGACAGAGGGCAACCTGTTCCCCATCCTGTAACAGCCCACCAAGTTAATTTCCACTCGGCCCTGCCTCCACACTCTGGGCTACAACCTAACCATGGTGATTGTGATGTTTATGGTATTTAAACTCCCAGCTGCCCTTCTGTGGGAGGCAGGGAAAGTGGCTCATTTCTCCTAGTTTCAGGGATGAACTTTGCAAGGCCTGTATCCCACTGCGGAGCACCAGCTGCAGCCGGGCTCCCTAGGCCATGAAGGTGGTGGCCGCCTCCGAGCTCTGTGTGACTGCTGTAGCCTTCCCTGAACTCAACTGTTCTTCCAGGCAGTTGGAAGCATGAGTTTACATGTTATAAACCCTGACAAATATATGCCTGACTTTTTTTCCCTATTTGTGGCAGGTGGCCTTCCACATCCAACCCTACAAGGGCCGGGATGACGTCACTCTGCACGATAACATCAAGTACATCATTGACACGTGAGGCTGCCATGGGGTCTGGGTTTTGGGTGGGGGAGGGGGGGCGGAGATCAAAAGGAATAGGAATAGAAGGTACAGGAACTGGTCAGGAGACACAAGACAGAATAACGCTGTGTCAAATAACAAAATAACAAAAGCATTTTTGTTTTTCTTTTTGGATCACACCTGGTGTAACAGGGGTTACTCCTGGCTCATGCACTCAGGAATTACTCCTGGCGGTGCTTGGGTGGGTGGGGGGGCATATGGGATGCTGGGAATCAAACCTGGGTTGGCCCGTGCAAGGCAAACACCCTACCGCTATCGCTCCAGCCCCGCATTTTTTTTTTTCTTTCTTTCTGCTCACCTGGCTTTGCTCAGGCTTAATCCTGTTTCTGCACTCAAAGATCAGTTGCTGGGGACCAAACCTGGGTTGGCCACATGAAAAGCAGATGCCTTACTTGATGCCCTATCTCTACAGTTCCTAGCAGCTATTTCATAGTGAGAGTAGAGGGCTTGTGATTGAGAGCCTGGATTTGGATTTTAGTTCTGTAACCTCCCCACCTGTGATCAGAGGCAAACCCCATTGACCCTTGAGTCTTGTAAGAGCTATATACATATATATATGTGTGTTATATATACATAGTTATATATATATAACATATATATGTATAAAGTGGCTTGTCCTGTGCTTGCATAGATTGTACATTAATTTTAAAAATTACATATTTAGTACCTTGAGGTATACAGGCAGAGTCTTCTAAGTTGGTGCTGTACAACAATGGATAGGACTAGCAACGTTTCTGATTTGATATAATTTATATAATCTAGGGGACTGGAGCGATAGCACAGCAGTAGGGTATTTGCCTTGCGTGCAGCCGGCCCAGCTGAGCTGAGTTTGATTCCTCCGCCCCTCTCAGAGAGCGCGGCAAGCTACTGAGAGTATCTCGCCCGCACCGCAAAGCCTGGCAAGCTTCCCGTGACGTATTCGATATGCCAAACACAGTAACAGAAGTCTCACAATGGAGACGTTACTGGGCCTGCTCAAGCAAATCGATGAACAACGGGAGGACAGTGCAGTGCAGTATATATTCTAGGATACTAAGGGTAGCAATGAAGTAGAAAGCATTTAATATAAAAAATCGTATAATGGTCATACTATGAAAAGAATAATAATAAAGATGGAAGCATTAATAATAATAAAGATGGAGAGATAGGACAGCAGGGAGGGCACTTGCCTGGCATGTGGCTGACCCAGGTTCAATCTCTGCCACCACATATGGTCTCCTGAGCCCTGCCAGGAGTAAACTTTAAGCTGCATGCAAGAAAAAAAAAGAGAGAAAGCTTTGCTGGGTCTCGTCCATGTAGTCAGGAGATATATGTTATTAATAAACTTCTGGGGGTGGGGAGGTAGCTCAAAGAACTGACCCAAAAATCTTAAGAACACACAAAACATAAACAAAAACAACCCAAGAAAACCCACTTTGGAGTGACTGTTCAAGAGAGCTGCGGTGTGAGCTGAAGGAAGGGTCAGTTCTGTGAAAGTGCGGGGCAGCATCGCACAGAAGGGAGAGGACTGGTGGAGCCAGAGAGCCGTAAGATGAGACAAGGTTGAGAGAAAAGAAGATCCTGGTAGGGCTGCCCAGGTTCAGTCCCTGGTGCGAAATGGTCCCCTGAGCGCTGCCAGAAGTGATGCTTAAGCACTGAGCTCCTGACCACTGCCAAGTATGGTTAAAAAACGGGGGGGGGGGGGGGGGGGCGGGGAATATATGGAAAGAAACAGCATTATAGCTGGAGCGTAGGGAAGATAGTGTGGGAAAGAGAGAAATGAGAAAGAGGCTAGATCAAGTAAGTGGGCCTTTGACGGCCTTGGTAAGGAGTAGCTGGATCTGACTTTTGTTGTTTTGTTTTGGGCCCATGGTCCTCAGGAACCATTCCTGGCATAATGGTCTGGGGGTTTTTCCCGGTGTTTAAATTGTACCTGAATTTTCTGCTGCTCAGGGGTTATTCCTGGCTCTGCACTCAGGAATTACTCCTGGCAGTGCTCAGGGGACAATATGGGATGCCAGGGATGGAGCCCGGGCCAGCCGCGTGCAAGGTAAACACCCTACCTGCTGTACTATCACTCTGCCTCCATGCTCCAGTGACTTGAGCCGTCTGCCTTCCTGACACAGAAGCAGTCAGATCTGTTTCACACTCGTTTTGGGAGCAGGGGCTGTAGCTCCACACCCACCAGAGCTCAGGGATCACTCCTGGCCGTGCTGGAGGAGCTATTTATAGTGATGGGGATTGAACCTGGGTCAGCTGCAAGCAAGACTAATGCCTTAACCCCTGTACTATCCTTTGGCCCTAGATTGACATTTTTAAAGAGAATGGAGGGTCAGGAAATGGCTTAAAGGGCTGAAGTGCATGTTTTGCATGTAGGAGTCCCAGGTTCCATGCTTAACACTGCATGCTGAGAGTGACCCCAGAGCATCCTGTTGGGAGTAGTACCCCCACCGAGCACCATCATGTATAACCCAAAATCCAAATACATTTTAAATTTAGTTTATTTGTGTGTTTTTTGTTTGTTTTTTGCTTTTTGCTTTTTTTGTCTCACACCCAGCAATGGTCAGGGGCTACTCCTGACTCTGCACTCAGGAATTACTCCTGGCAGTGCTCGGGGCACCATATGGGATACCGGGGGCTGAACCCAGGTCGGTTGCGGGTAAAGATAAACACCCTACCTACTGTGCTATATCTTCAGCCCCTTAAATTTAGTTTAAATACGGGGCTGGAGTGATAGCACAGTGGATAGGGCATTTGCCTTGCACACGGCCGACCCGGGTTCGATCCCCAGCATCCCATATGGTACCCCACGCATCTCCAGGAATAATTCCTGAATGCATGAGCCAGGAGTAACCCCTGTGCAATGCTGGGTGTGACCCAAAAAGAAAAAAAATTAGTTTAAAATAAATGACAAAAAAAATTGGGGCCAGTGATGTGTCTCAGTGGTAGAGCTCTGACCTTGCATGTATAGTGTCCTGGGTTTGAACCCTGGCACTGAAAAGAGGAAAAAAAGAGAGAAAGGGAGTTAGTTAATCAGCTTTACTGGGTCTCACCCATGTATTCAGGAGATATACATGTTATTAATAAACTTCTGGGGCTGGGGAGATAGCTCAGAGAGCTGGAGCACATGCTTTGAATGCTGGAATACCCTGGGTTGAAACTGTTTTGTTTTTTGGGGGGGGTCACACCTGGCTCTGTATTCAGGAATTGCTCCTGGTGGTGCTCGGGGGACCATATGGGATGAACTCAAATCAGCTGTGTGTAAGGCAAACACCCTACCCACTGTACTATCACACCGGCCCCTGGGTTGGAACTCTGGTTTGGGAGCCATACCTGGTGGTGTGCAGGGGTCATCATAGTGGAGCTCGGGGAATCCTGTGTGTACTGAGGATTGAACCTGGGTCAGCTGTATGCAAGGCAAGTATTCTATTTTCTGTACTGTTGCTCAGGCCGGTCCTTGTTTAGACCCCTGCAACATCAGGGACAACACAGTGTGGTCCAAACACTATAAAAACAGAAAAAAAAAAAAAAACCCTTCTTGTTCTTACCAAAAAAAGATAAAAGGGAATGGATGGGGCCAGAGGGAGAACTCAAATGATAGTAAAGTGCAAGGCCCGTGTTTTGGTCTTGACACCACCCACCCCGTGTGCCACCAGGTCTTAACCTCTGATCCCAGAGCACCACCTGACCCAGGCAGCCCTGCAGTCAGGCCCCATCACTGGACCATCAGGCCCTCCGAGAGGGCTCAGCTCCAGCTCTGCTGCGTCACCCACCCCTATAAAAGCATTTTTTAAAAGTGGGTAATGGATAATCGGGAGTCAGGAGTGGGAACCCAGAGACCAGGCAGGTAGCTGTGGCTGGCGGCAGTTCTGGTTGAAAGATGGTGCGTGAGGTGAGCCTCTTAGCTCTTCAAGGGTGTTGAGGAGTTAAATATGAGCAAGAACGGGATGGTGCCAGGAAGAGGTTTGCTTAGAGGACAAAGCTGGTCCAAGGAGGTAGGGTGGGCAGCGGGGCTGGGTGGAGATTAGACTCTTGCTTAGAGCCACAGTGAGTGCAGCTTGGAAACTGGCTGGGTCCGAGATGGTGCTTGGGCGTCAGGAAGCTGCTCCTGCGGCTGGTGGCTTCCTTCCGTTCAGGCTGCTGGCTCAGGCTCTTCTTCCTGCTCCCCTCCCCAGGTATGGCTCCCATGGTGCATTTTACCGCTATAAGAACAGCATGGGCAAGAGCCTCCCTCTCTTTTATATCTATGACTCGTATCTGACGGCCCCCGAAGCCTGGGCCCACCTCTTGACACCAAATGGGCCCCACTCCATCCGAAACACCCCCTATGATGGGGTCTTCATAGCGCTCCTGGTGGAGGAGGGCCACACGCATGACATCCTGGCCGCTGGATTCGATGGCATGTACACCTACTTTGCCTCCAATGGTTTCTCCTTTGGCTCCTCTCATCAGAACTGGAAAGCAGTGAAGAATTTCTGTGACGCCAACAACCTCATGTTCATCCCCAGCGTGGGGCCTGGCTACATTGACACCAGCATCCGGCCCTGGAACAACCACAATACGCGGAACCGCGTCAACGGCAAGTACTATGAGACGGCCCTGCAGGCGGCCCTGACGGTGAGGCCCGAGATCGTCTCCATCACCTCTTTCAACGAGTGGCACGAAGGCACCCAGATCGAGAAGGCGGTTCCCAAGAAGACGCCAACACGTCTGTATTTGGACTACTTGCCTCATCAGCCCAGCCTGTACCTGGAGCTCACACGCCGCTGGGCGGAGCACTTCATCAAAGAGAAGGAGCAGTGGCTGATGTGAGGGACCTGCAGGTGGGCCTGAGGTGCTGTCTGGGCCTCAGCATGCGCAGGTGCTCTTATCCAAGTCAACATCCGGAGTGGGTCCCCCAGGCCGAGCCCCTACAGAACAGAGCTCGTTCCTCAGGCAGTTGGTGCTGGTATGCTGTGCATTGACAGAAAATCAGGTGGTGTTCCAGACGAAACTGTCGAGGCTGGCAGGTGACTTAGCCCAAAGGCAGCTCCACATCACCCTTGAAATCACTTCCGGCTTTGAACTTGGTTTTGTGTTGAGGAGTTACCTGATCATTATTCTTGGAAGTTGCCTGGATCTTTACTCTGGGCTAGCATGCACCCTGCCCCTGCCTGCCAGCCTCCATCCCCTCTTCAGACCTCCTTGCCACCTCATCTGGCTTCTAAGTTCGGGAATCCTATTTGAGACTTTCTTAAAAGAAAATCCAAGATTTAAGTTCTTTCTAAGTAGATTTCTGAACCTGTCAGGAAATCATCCTGAGTGTTCACTTATACTAATTAAGCACCTATGTGATAGGTGCTACGGGAAACCCCCCAAGGAGTTCTTGTTCTCCTCAGGCTTACAGGATCCAGCATTTCTGCTTGGTGTGGCCTTGTAGCTGGTGCCTGAGCACGGCTCTAAGTTTTACTTCTTGGTAATCTAATTCATGCCAGGAGTTGAGTTCTTTTTCTCCTAAGAAAATACCTCTGTGCCCCAGAACATTTTCCTAGATCAATGTTTAGCTCCAGGGAGAGGATAAGTCCCTCCCCCGAGCTAAACTAAGAGGCCCACTCCCTAGCGCCACTTCAGTGCTACTGTGACTTGTAATGGGTATGATGTGTTCTCAAGTATGCATTCCCTTTGCCCATTTCTGGATGTCAGACCCTTCAGTGAGTGGGTGGGCAACACAGAATTTGCTTAAGTCAATAGGTTTTCCCTGGTAATAAATCACTGGTTGGTTTTCCAAACGCAGACCTTCGGGACACCTTCTTGCCAAGATTCTCAGGAGCTATTTTAAAGAAAACACATGTTCTGGAAACCACTCTGTTGAGCCTCTGAGCTCAACACTGAATCCCAGTTGAGGGAGCTGGCCTGTAACTGGGGAAGGATGGTGACAACCCTAGCCAGTCATAAGGATCTTTGTTCATTAGGTAACTGATAGCAAACCCAACTAAAGGATGGCAGACTGACTCGGCTGCTTAGCTGGGGAAACTGAGACAGGTGAAAGGGCTGAATGCTCAGCACCGAAGCTTCTTGAAAATACTGCAATCCTGGAAGGACAGGGAGCAGGACAGCAGCTTTCACACGTTGCTGATGGCAACGTAATTTGATTCAGTTCTTATGAAGGAAAATCTGTAGGAAGAGCCATAAAAACGTTCCTATGTTGGCCCGATAATCCCATCCAAAGGAAAGATAATCAGAAAGAAAACACAAACCATTTATGAGGAATGTTTAATAGTATAATTTTCTATTGAAGAAAAACAAAGTCAAGTGGCCCAATAATTATGTTTATAATTGGTATAACATGAATAAAGATGAGGCAGCGGAGTGGACAATGGGTTTAAATAAAAGCGTTGTAGGCACTGTTCCTTATATTTTATGAATAAATAAGAAAATTTACCATTAAAAAGGATAGTTTATTTTTTAAATATTCTCTAACTAGAATTCCTCCTCCATCCTGTTCTGACCCCGCCAGCTGAGCAGACCAATACGATGACTCTCAGCAGTGACAGCACACAGTACCACCAGGTCTCTGGGCTCAGAGGAAAGGCCGTTTGGCTTGTGACTCCACAATATTTATCCCAATCTGGTTCCAGCTTTTAAGAGCACGAACTATGCCTTTGGTCCCTTGAAACTTCAAACACTATCAGCTGCTATTCCAGCTGATTGGGATCTCAAATGTCATTCCTACCAGAGCAGTTCCATTAGATTCCAAATAGAGCAAACTCTTGTTCAACAGGAGACAGATGCTTGCTTTGCATCCAGCTGACCAGGTTTGACGCCCTCCCCCCACCCCCCAAACCTGGCACCCTGAACACATCCTGCTGGGTGTGGACTAACATCTTCCTCCCCTCAGAAACTGTTATTTCTCAAAAGCGAAGAAGAAATGATCAAAAGACGACCGTCTTAGGAGTCCTTTGAAAGTTTCTATTTAGCTTTTGGCCAATATATGAAATTACAAATAACAAATACAGTCCCTGCCAGCAGACTTGTGGCTAACCCAGTCATTTCTGGGGTCTGGCCTCCAGTGTTTAGGAAGTGTTCAAGGGTCAGGTGACTGGTGGGGTAGCCCCAGTAACCTCTGCAAACGAGGCCTTGCCGACTACCAGCAGACAGACACACAGTGTCCAGCACCATCCTGAGCATGCCTCCTCCTCACAAGCAGGGTTCATGTGAGGGGAGCAGCCTGTACTTCTGTTGGAGGATGGTCGTAGTTCTTTCCAGGGCACTGAGGAGGAAACAGAGGAGGGTTAAGAGTTTGACTTCAAATACCAGAGCCCACCAGCCTCGAGATCAGAGACCTCTCAACTACCTGGTCTCACTATGCCCATTCAACAAACCCTAGATGAGTCCTTCTGAATCCTGAATAAAGAAGTCAGCAAGTAACAGCAAACAATCTCACTCCGTCTACTTCTGAGGCAATAGTGACAACCTTCACTTTGTAATGGTGGGGTTGGGGGCTGCATGCATCTCCTAATCACCCCCAAATTCCATCCCCATGCCACTTAGAAAAGAGACTCACCACCCAGGACGAATGATGTTGAACTTTCCAGGAACAGACAGGTCAACCACAGTGGAGCCTAGGCGACACTCAGGGCTCTGGCCATCCCCAATTGGCCCTCCATCGATAACCAGGGACAAGTGAGGCCAGAGGTCCTGGAACTCCTGAGAAAGAGGAAGAGCATGATACCACTCTACATGGAGAGTTCTTAAACAATAGAAAGATCACATGGAGGCATCTACCTTCCTCCCTTGCAGTCCTGAGTTCCAGATATTCCCACCCCTGCATCCCCACCACACACAGTTCAGTCCTAGAGTTCCAACAAAAGAGCATCTTGCTGTGCACACAGGAAGTTCCACACATTGCTAAGCACAATCCTCGGTGGATTCAAATGTGAGGAAGCTACTCTGAACTTGCCATTATATTTCACTTAACAACTGGTAAAAAGAGGACGGTCACTCAACCTCTCCCCAGCTCTAGCACTCTGCTCCTGAAGCCCAGTGGAACTCTGGATCACAGTAAGGAGAGGAAAGAGGGTGGATGTTTCCCTGGCATGCTGTTCGCACTCCTTGAGCTATAGCATGGTCATTCCCACCCAGGTCTGAGCTACAGCATCGTCCATCCACACACTTCCACTCCCAAAGAAGCTTCAGTTGCAATTAGCCTAGGAAACTGAGACAGGAAATCATAAATACTAAGAACTTATGATTTGGGGGCTGAAGCAATAGCACAGGGGGTTGGGCGTTTTGCCTTGCATGCAGCCGACCCAGATTTGATTCCCAGCCTGAACACAGCCAGGGGTAATTCCCGAGTGCAGAGCCAGGAGTAATCCCTGTGCATCGCCAGGTGTGACCCAAAAAGGGAAAAAGAAAATATATATGATTTAGTGTTGGCCTTGCTCGGGCCCTTCTTGGATCTATTGGATAGGGCAACTGCGAGCCGGAGAGCTACGAATTACCACCCAATGCAGACCTGTAGGGGACAGTGGCTCTACCGCTGCTCCAGGCACCGAAACACGGGGGGGGGGGGGGGGGGGGGGGGGGGGGGGGGGGAAGGGGGGCACGGCACTTTCTGTTTGTTCTTTTAAACACTTTTAAACACTTTCTATTTCCTCTGGCAATAAAACCGTTCAGGTTTATTTCCAGAGGAGTACGGGATAATTTTCTTTACGAAAAAAAGGTGTCGGGGGCCAGAGCGATAGTAGGGATAGTACAGGGAATGGAACGCGCTAGCCTTGCCCATGGCCCACCCAGGTTCAATTCCCGGCACCCCGTATGGTCCCGAGCCCCTGCGAGGATGATTTCTGAGCACAGAGCCAGGTCGGTCAGTCTGAGCAACGCCGGGTGCGGCCCTGAAACAAGCACCACCCCGCCCCCCAAATTAATTTTCATTCCAGCCTCCCTATCACCACCACCAAGCTCACTCGGCAACAGCTCCCTTCCCCAACAAAGCCAGAGATGATGCCAAGCCCCGTCGTCGTCCCCCCGCGCCCCGGGGCTCACCTCCACGTTCAGCGAACTGGCCTGGGCGCTGAGGTTGGCGCTGGTGAGCGCGATGGGGCCCCCGAAGGCGCCGGCCAGGTCCTGCATGAAGGCGTGCTCGGGGATGCGGACGCCCACCAGCTGCGGGGACAGCAGCGGCGCTCAGCACCCGGCGGCGCGGCCCCGGCTCCCGCCGGCCCCGGGCGCCCCCGACTCACGCGCGTGAAGGGGTTCAGGTCCTCGTGCAGCTCGTCCGAGCGCTCCATCACCAGCGTCACGGGCCCGGGCAGGAGGTCTCGCAGCAGCCCGTCGGGCACGCTCACGCGGCAGTACCTAGGCGGGGACGCAGCGTCCAGCGGCGCGGGGGGGGGGGGGGGTGCCCGCCCCGCCCGCCCGCGCGCGCGCGGCACCGGAAGCCCCTCCCGCGGGGCCGCCTCACCTGTAGACGTCGGCCACGCGGCCCAGGCACACGGCCAGCGGCTTGGCCTGGCTGCGGCCCTTGAGGCGGTACACGGCGCCCAGGGCCGCCGGGCAGCTCGCCGAGCAGGCCAGGCCGTACAGCGTGTCGGTGGGGACGGCCACCACGGCGCCGGCGCGCAGCGCGGCCACGGCGGCCCGCAGCGCCTCGCTCCAGCCGGCGCGCTCCGGGCTCGCGGCGCGCACGGCCCCGCTCCCCGGGAGCCGCAGCCGCCGGGCCCCCGGCGCGGGGCTCGGCGGGCGGAGGCGGCGGCCGGGGCGGGCCGAGCCCGCCGGCCCCTCGCTCAGCCCCGCGCTGGCAGCCACGGCGGCCCTCAGCCCCCTGCACGGGAGCGCCGGAGACATCCGCCGAGGCCCGCTTCCGGGAGGAAGTGACGCGGCCCGCCAGCTTCCGGCCCAGGAGAGGCGGCCCCGCCCTCGCGCCGGGCCGCTTAAAGGGACCGCGGCCCCCCGGAGGACTGAAGGAGACCGGTGGGGACGGGGCGGGGCGCAGCGCTGCGGAGCCTGGGCCCAGCTCTGGGGCTCCGGGGAGGGGGCGGCCGAAAGGGGGGCGGTGGCCGGGCCGCGCAGGCGGAGATGGAATGGGGCCCCGGCTCAGACTGGTCGCGGGGGTGAGAGGGGGCCCGTCGGGGCGGGGGAAGGGTCTCCCACCCGCGCTCGCCGCGGCCCTGACCGTCTGTTTCTCGCTCTCTCCTGGGCAGGGAGGCTGCCGGCGTGGACCGTGGGAAGGCGGGGCTGGGGCTCGGCGGGAGGCCCCCCCCGCAGCCGCCCCGCGATGAGCGCGCCCAGCAGCTGCTGGACGCCGTGGAGCAGCGGCAGCGGCAGCTCCTGGACACCATCGCCGCCTGCGAGGAGATGCTGCGGCAGCTGGGCCGCCGGCGCCCGGAGCCAGCTGGCGGCGGGGTCAGTGCCCACGTCGGGCTGGGCCGAGGGAGAGGGGACTGCCCCTTGGCTGGACTCAGGTCCCAGCTTCCCCTGGAGGGTGGAAGATCGTCCTCACGCCTTTACCCCGGACCCCTGAGGCTTTGAAAAGTTAAATGCGACCCAAAGGCCGAATCCTCACGGGGCCTAGTCCAGGCCTTTCCACCCGGCCTCACTGCCCCCTCCCCACCCCATCCTCTTTCTGTTCCAACCAGAACGTCCCAGCCAAACCCGGAGCGCTGTCCCAGCCGGCTGTCCCTGCCAGGGGTGGCATTCCAAAGGATGCTGGCGATGGAGCTGCCGAGCCCTGACTGTCCTCGAGCTGGGCGCCCAGACTTCTCTCCCTCCTCGGGGCTGGTGGCCGGACTCTGAGCAACTCCCTGCATAAAGGGGTCAGTCTTCACCGGTAGTGGCTGGTACTTGGCTCTCAGCCTGTGGTGGCGGCTCTGCTCGCAGCTGGTTCACTCCCACTTCATCCTGGCAGAAGGCAGTTGCTGAGCTTTGAAATGTAGCCAACCAATACCCAGTCTGATTACCCGGATTTGGACAGACCAGCAGTGCTTGCCAGAATGGCTTAGCCTGCTTGGGGCGATCCAGTTGGTGTCATGTGTCCATTTCATGCTATGGGGGCGCAGTCCCCCCAAAACAATTTGAGCAGAGCCTTGATTAAAAGGAAACCCTGCAGACTTTGCTGGTGACCGATCTTTCTTTCTGACCCCGTCTAAGATGCTGATGGGCTGATGGCTGGGGGAGGGTGAAAAGTGGTTGAATGGGCAGGGTTGGGGAAAAAAATGTCACATATACTACCAGATTTAAATAAGCTTTTAATTAGGATTTCATTAGTATTTAATATTGCTTTTTCAATTCCAAAAAGTTAAATTTTCACTTCTTAGCAGATATTTAAAGTACAATATTAAGTTTATACAAAATGAGCAATTAAGCAAACACCATTATTTCACATTCTTCAAAAATACAAATTCATATTTACTCTTTTTGGGGGGGGTTGGAGGTTTCTTCCTTTGGAAGTACTGAACCTGTAACGTTTTCATATCGCTCAGTGAAAGTCCATTATTCCCATGTTTCACACTTAAATAAACTAGATAGGCTTTTACATAATCCAAATAAAACTATTTGGGATTTTAAGAAAACTGCCACCAAGACCTCCGGCCAATGACTATGTGTCAAAAAAGAAGATTCTCGTGGGGGGGATCTTGCCTTCCCTGTCTAGATCTGAGCCAGAGATGCAGCAAACACCTGTTTCCAGCCACCTTCCCCAAACAGGGAATTCTGAAGGGAGCAGGCACGGCCACCGAGACCTCTGACCCCTGCCTCCATATTCTCCAAAACACAACAAAGGATAGAGACTGTTGAGTCAAACAGTGCCCGAGGGAGGCATGAGGACACAGGGGAGAAGGGCAAGTGAGGCCTCTGACTTGGCACCACTACAAGGATAACAAGGATATTGCATAAAACACCCCTGGGTTTTGGTGAAAAAAGGTTTTATGAAAAATTTCCCATATGAAAAAGAGTAGAAACTGCACTGAGCTGAGAAAGTGACACTACATAATCACCCAATTTTTGGCCCAGCAGGCACACCACCAAAAGGGCAGTGTGGGGTTTTAGTTCTCCTTCTAGTAAAAAAGCTTGTACTATGTACACACTGATAGAAAGATCCAGTTTAATTTGCATTTTTTTTTAGTGCAGACTGAGAAGCCCTCTCTTGAACAGGAGTAACAGTGAGAAATGCCCAAATAGCGATCATCAGCTTCCCAAAGGTATGAGAAAAAAAAAAAAAGAGCCTGTCCCTCTCTCCAAAAAAAAAAAAAAAACCCATATAAGAGAAAACAGGTTACACTGACTGATCAGAAATATGTGTATTTCAGTTCTGTTATCTCCTGGCACTCCCCCCAAACATTAAGGAATGGGGTTTCTGATGTCCAGCACAGCAGAACCAAGTGCATATTTGATCTGACAAAATCTTCCTGCTTTGGTTGAAATATATTTTTAAGCTGCTCTATTCTGTTATGCCTGAGAATTGAACACAAAATGTGGGCGAAAACGAGAAGAAAGTTGATACAGCCTAGTTTACTGGACTTTTAATGAAGGCTGGAGGGCCTTTTTGCTTAAAATACTCAACACGGACTGGAGAACAGTCTGGCAATGGCTCCTGCTGCCCCCTCTTCCCTCCCACTACTACCACCATTTCTCCAAACATGTTTCTGATTTGGTGGTGGAGGAAAACCACAAACTGTAGCAGATGTTGCAGTTCCGAAAATCAATGGTTTTCAGTGACTCTGGGAAAGGCTTTAAGATTAAGGACCGTGGATGTGATTACAAAATATCAAAATCTAGAAGGTTCCAGGTTACTCACTAGGAACAACCTGTTCCTTCCTCTCAGGCATCACTTTGTAGCAGTGAGAGGAAAAAGATGGCCAGGGACCAAGAAGTCACGAAGAAAGGCCTCAACAGTCAGCACAGTCAGCAGAAAACTCAAGCAGTTCTTCGCGGAGCCTGAGGGGGTGCCCTCGGGCACGGGGAAGGCTTGCATAGATTGAACAGATGCTGAAAACACAAAATAGTATTCCCCTCATGGTACAGGGCTGATCCGGTGGGAAAAAAGGTGGCTAGGCCACAGCCACATGGGAAAACGACTATCAGACTACATATATTGCACCAAGGTAAGTGCTTTTCTTTTTACACTTCAATTTAACTTTTTATTCTGAGCAAAAGTAAAACTTTGTGGAAAGTACACACACACACACACACACACACACACACACACACACACATACACACATACACAAAATAAATTGCAGCAATTGGGTTAAAGATAAAATAACCTAAAGTGCTTTTTTTTTTATTATTTCTTTAATATACCAATATGAGGTTCTGCAAACTTGTCCCTTTGGACACATTCAACATTATACAAAGTCTTTCAAGAAAAACTACCCACCCTCTACTATCCCCTTAGTCCACTGCCCTGAAATGTAAAACTCTCCAGTCTTCTGGCTCTTCCAGAGGAGGTGAAAAGAAGTCCCTTGCCTTCTATCCAGGAAGTCTTCATACCTAAGGTCCCTTCTGGGCTTTGTACCATGATCTCCTTTCTAGAGGGGTTAGAATTTAACAGGTGACACCAACTTGTCTCATTAAACTACTGATGTCTCCAGAGACTGGCCAGACTCTGCCAGGAAAAGCAGAACCACTTCCTGCCCACTCTGCCTTGTAAGGGCCAAATTCACTAAGGCAGTTGGCAGTGCCAGCCAACTTTCCCTACAAACCCCTGAGCCCAAGAATTTCCAACCCCTGCTATTGACAAGCACCCTTTAAAGGGGCAGTCGAACTGGCAATGCTAGTTGGAGTTGGAAATAGGAAACTATACAGAGTTAAATGGCTAAAAGTTACCATAGGCAGGGAAAAAGGCTTGCTCTCACCCACTAGACGTCTGCAGAGCTTCCCTAACTTGGCCCTACACTAGTCCCTGGGTTTGGGAACTTAAACTTTTCATAGAGGCTCATTCTTACTCTACTTTTGCCACAGACCCTTTCTTTTTCCAAGGTCCTTGACATCAGGGGTCAGGTTAACAGAATAGGTAGGGAAGGAAAGAGTGCTGGAAGAGGAAGGAAAGACTACCCTGTGGAACAAACTTGCCCTTACTAGCATTTTACAACATGTTCCTGATTTTTCCAAAGCTGATTTGAATTAATGGTCTCCTTGAAATCTTGAGTCACCGCAAAAGGCAGAAACTTCAACTAGAAAAACCTGTCAGCCTAAACAGTGATTTAAGAGCCTTCTTCATCACCCTGATCTTTGGAGAGCAGAAAAGCACTGGGGAAGTCTCAACATAAGCTCTGGCTATTCTGGAAGAAGCAGTATTTCACACTGCCAGTGCTTCCAATGACTTCTCTGGGCTTCTGTTTCCCTTCCCAGAGAACCCAATCCAAGTGACAGTACAATGAATATTTGGGGAGAGCATTTCTGCCTTCCAATATGAGTTAAGGTGGGGAATCCCATTCTGTCCCTTGCTCTCAGAACAGCGAGGGCCCTACCTCAAAGCTTCCTATGAATGTGAAGTTCAGAGATAGTAGCCAAAGACAGCCCAAGGTCAGCAGATGGCTTCCCAGGACTATAACTGCCAGAACCTCCCAGCCTTTGGGGGCAGGGAGCACAGAAGGGCAAGAAGAATCTTATCTCCCCACTAGACTCTAGGAATGAGAAACCACCAGCTACTTGCGCCCATTTCTCCTCCTGGCAGTAACAACAATTATCACCACTGTCCTCTTGTCCCTGATTAAAGGCAGAACCACTGTCTCCGCAGTAAATGATCTGCTCTGAACACTGTGTTGGCTGACCCTGAGTAACAGCTCAGAGAAGAGTGACAAATGCAGATCTCTTTACATTAGAGAGTAGAAAAGAAAGGCCAAGTG